TGCGCATGCGCGGTATATTCGGCAGCTTACGAGTTTAGCACGGAGAGCGCTAAGCTGAATTCGTAATTCTATCTAAAGCGCACCAACCCCACCAGACCTTGTGTTGATACTACTACATAGAGTGTTGCTGGGGTATGGACGACCGTGGGGGACTGGGAAACATAAACGAGTCGCCTCCTCTGGACGCACCCACTCCGAGGGATGTGCACATGAAGTTCCCGGCAGCAGAGGGCTCGAGCCTCAACACGCGGCCCGCGACAGGCGGGCTGGGGACGCTCCGGTCGGGATGGAAGCGGCTCATGCAAGGCACCATCTTCTCCTCCGTCTTCACGCTCCTGTCGACGTGCATCGGAGCCGGGACCCTCTCTCTTCCTTACGCTTTTCAACAGGTTCGACTCTGCGTAGACTTTTAGTCACGTGATCGGCTCTTCGTATGTGTATAGGGTGGACTGATCCCAGCGTCTATCATCTTCTTCCTGATAATGGTGGTGTCCATCACAGTGGGTTTCCAGCTGTTTGCTGCCAAGAGGTATTGCGAGCAGCTGAACCCAGGGACCCAGGTCTGGGGATACGAAGATATCGCACTCGTTGCCTTTGGACCCATTGGAAAGGCACGTACTGTTGTCACTTTGTGATTTGTTGTTGTGTGGTGCGAATTACGTGTGTACATGTGTGTGTGTGCAGATAATTGTCCTGTTGACGCTGATTGTTCTTTTGGTGCTGACGCTCATAGCCTACATGATCTTTACCAGAGATCAGGTGAGCCACTCTTTCATTTCCCTCCCTCTGTTACACTTTTTTCTCCGTCATTTTGCTCCCCCTCCCTACTCTCTCCCTACCCAGTTGGATCTCATAGTCCAGTTTGCACTAACGAAAACAGGCCACATCCCGACGTGTTCTCCACTGATGAACTGTGCCGTGCTTGTCTCCATGGCCTTCATCCCCATCTTCCCAGTCACCCTCCTGAGAGTCCTCACTCCCATGCAAATCACCAGCACTTTTGGGTATATGTGTGTACATTACATCACACCAGACACGGAGGCCGAGGGGCGTGTACACATAATAACAGACAGAGCAGGCACACTTGACAAGCGAAGTCCACTGGATAAGTCTGAATCTGGCACTGGAGAAAGATTGCAGTACTACTAGCTTTTGGCTGACGATTGTGCATTATGGCTTATATGGCTTCGTTGCGTAACTTCAGGCCTTTATGCAACTGCCATATTGTATTACCTGTCCCGCCCACTATGTTCCACTACAAGGGAGCTAACAGCTCTTCCTTCCTCTATCCTCAGCATGATGTGCATCACCTACGTCGGTATCACGATGTTCATCAAGATGGTGATTTACCAGAGCAACAGACCTGTCAACCGTGCCAGTATAGCCCCCGAGGACCCTAGCGGTCTCCTGATAACAGTGTCATACTGCAGTCTGTCTTTCGTCTGCCACTTCAACCTCCTGCCACTTCAAAAGGAGCTCCATCGTCCAACGAAGAAGAGGATGAGCATCATTGTCGTGTTCTCCATGCTCCTTGCCTACACGCTGTACAACTTGGTCATCTTCAGCGGAGTTTTCAGGGTTGGTTTAATTGGGTGGTAATTACAGGGGCTTACCCCTAATAGAACCCTCCATACAACAGTGGATTGTTCCAGTGGTTTAGAGACCTGAGGATGTATGAAAATGTACTAGCTATTGTCACAGTTGTCCATTGTATGCAGTTTTTTGGTGATCTGCAAGAAGACGTGATGTTGAACTATCCACGGACAGATGTTCTCATGACAACCGCCAGAGTTGCCCTGTTTTTCACTCTCCTCTGCTCCTACCCTGTCCTCCTCCACCCGACGAGAGGGCGCCATAAACAGACTCGTCATCTATAGCTACCAGCTCCTGACCGGAAGCTGTAGGAGAAAGGGACCGAAGGGAGGGAAGGTTGCACACATAAACGAACTCGAGAAGCAGGCTGAGGCGGAAGAAGAAGCGAGGGTAAAGGGAGAGGAGAAGGTGCCACTGTTGCAGCAACAGAAGACAAAGTCTTCGTCGGACGTAAAGGTTGTGTGTGTCTCTCCCTCTTTAGCAACTCTCTCTCTCTCTCTCCTCTCTCTCTCCAGATTCCTCTGCAAATTTGGATCAGTGAGACGTGGATACTTTTTGCTTTCACCTTCATCTGTGCCAGCTACATCCCTAATGTTAGCACGCACACAAACGCACACATATTACAACGTTTCTCTTTCCTCTAGGTTGGACTGGTGTGGAATTTTGTCGGTTCCATCGGAGGGACTCTGATTCTCTACATCTTCCCTCCGGCCTTCTTCCTAAGGCTCCGCTATATGAGATACACCCATCGCAAGAGGACGGAGGGTCTCAGCGTACGCAGCCAGTACAACTGGTCTGGTGTCGTTAGAGAGAGTGTGGCAACTGTCATCATGGTCACCGGTGAGGGGAGCAGAGCTCGTGTTGCTAAGGATAAATTGGGGAATGTTGACACGTCGTGTTTTTTGACTTAGAAATGAAATTATGTGATGGGCACTGCACACATCCTATAGCATTCGTTCGTTATGCAAGTTCCATGGTATGAAACCCCTTTCTTTCCCAGGTCTCCTACTACTTGTTGCAGAGAACTACTCAGCAGTCGAGGGCATTCTGACTCGGTCCCACGTCCCAACTGGCCTCTGCTACCAGTCAAAATGTGCATCTTTCTCCAATTCTTCCTACTACTCTGGGTGACTACTGTGCTTCACCTACACTGGAATCGAGGGACAACTAGACTACTCTGTCCTACGTTTCATTGTTGGTATTTATTCATTCAGGTCCTGTGTGTGTGTACGTAATATTATTATTTTTGATGTGGTAAAAAATTTAATCATTCCAACAAAAAGTATAAAGGGGTTGGGTAAAGTGTAATGAAACTGTTAGGCAAGTTTTACTTTCAGTTTACCAGGGAGCTCCTCAAACCTATTGACAGGGGGGAAAATGATATTATATTGTCCTATAACTGAAGGTACTTTATAATATATTATACCTCCTTGTTCTATTGAATTAGCTGACCTGTAGGCCTTGCTGTTGAGATAGCTGATGACAGCTGGCTTGATCCTTGCCTCCCCTTTACTGTGGAGGCCTTTTCCTGTTATCACATACAGCACCACCTGATCTGTGGGCACATCAAAGGATTTGGAATACACCTCAGCTTCAACACTAAACACATACATCATACATTCATACATTCATAATCAGATTGGTAGGAAGAGAGTCACAGAGTGGTGATTAAAACTAGGGGCGAGGCTGGGGAAGTGGTATGTTGTAGCTACCGGTGGCTGATTGGAGTCTGCCCTCCAGAGCTGCCAGAGCCTCGTCCACGTAGAGACCGTGGAGATCAAGGAACTGGGAGGACAGGTCATTACTGAGAGTGGAGAGAGAGAGGAGAGAGAGAGGAGAGATGTGAAGTCAGTGGCTCAAAAGGCTCACTGGAGGTTTAGTATGAGGGCAGCTGCACGACCGTTTGCTTCCTTCATCTTCTCGGTGTGAGAGTGACCCTTGAGTGGAGAAACAGGGGGAGAATTATGAGCAGCAGAGTCATGTACCGAGAGTCTACATCACTGATGTATTGTGTGACTCACAGCCTTGCAATTTGCGACAACGTCCAGTACTAGCCAGTTACCCAGGGAGAAGCTACACCAACCTTCTGAGCAGAAAACTAATTGCTAACCTTCTGAGCATAGTAGAGAGCGACTTCTCCCTGCTTGAGGCCACGTGCCCGAGCCGCCTTCTGGAAGGCTTCGCTCCTCAGTTTGGCATGGAGAGCAGCCTCGGCCCTGAGGTCATCGTATGCCGGGGCATCTTTCAGACCCCCCAATGACTGAATTGGTACTGGACAGAGGTAGAGATAGACACTGTGATGTTACTTCAGTATCAGTGTACTTTGGTTATATATACTATAATGCAGCAGGCAAATTAGAGAGTTTTTTCAAGTTTATGGTAATATCCGAACCATCCCCATTTCCTCCACAGGTGTTTGTCTTTCTGCAGGTATTAGAAGACTACTGATGTGTTGTACTTAGATCAGTAAGCTTTCAGTTTCAAAACTACTATGCTTGATGCAATGAAAGATTTTCAAGATTGCCTGTGGTTCCAAACCTTCTTTGTTTCTTGTCGGTTGTTTGGTCTTGTTGGCTGGTCTTCTTCTACGTCTGCTGGGTGATCTGGAAGGTAGCTGGAGGAGTGCGGCCCTGGGCTTGTCACTGGGTCCGACTGCACCCGTCGTCGTCTTGGCAGCAGTCCCGGCAAAACTGGTCAGACCAGACTGACTGGCTGCGTTCCCGTCGACGCCTTCCTCGCAAGCTTTCTCTCTCTCGAGTTCCGCAGCCGCAGAACTGAAATTGAAACTACAAAAGGAAACAATTAATATCAGATAGAGGCAGCTATTTGAAATATAAACCAGAACAATTGTTGTTATGAGGTTTCTGTTAAAAAACAAATTTCCGTTGAAATTTCCTAATCCCTGCCTCGACTAACCTGTTCTTAAAGAGGACATATTCGATGGTGTCTTTGCTGAGAGTCCTGAACTGCCTGTACAGCTGCCTCAGCCTCATCGTCCGCGCCATGTTCTTGCTGCACGCTGCCATCACCACCCTCCGCTGGACACAGACACACAAATAGTTAATTCAGAAAACTGCACAACATTCTTTAAAGCACACGGAAGTGGATCGACTTTTGGAATAAGGCAGGGCTGTACAAAATTAAAAACTAGAAGTTCGATCAGGTTTTTCCTGTTCATTATGGGTCAAACCTAGAGTAAAATTATCTCACAAAACTAAAAATTAAGACACTTGGCTGCCACCAAACCTTCGACATTAAGAGATTAAACTGTAGTATGCATGTACACAAAGTACCACTTGTTTAGCGGAGGTCTGCTGAGCCGACTGTTCATCCATGATGCTAGTGAGTCGTTCAGGTTCCGTACTGCTCCTCTCAGGTGGTCTGGAATCAGGACTGGCCACCAGGGTCGCTGGCACACTCTTGGCTGTGGATGTAGAGAGAGAGAGAGAGAGAACAACACAATATTTCACAATCCGTGGAACAGCAGTACATGTTTTACCATACTTCACTTCATGGCACGCTTTTAAGGTACAAATTCATGTATACCAAGTGATTTCAAAGTGAAACTTTTTATCTGTCAATAGTGACAGACCTCTGGATGCGGCAGAGTCTTGGTTCAGCAGTATCTCCACTTTCTTTGCCTGCACAGACAGCAACACAACAGTATGTATATACTAGACCCAGTAAGAGATCCAACAATATAGGCAAGCACTGTATGTATATAGGCTACCAGTGTATATATACAGAGGACTAGGAACGTATAGTGTTGCATATACCTCAAGAGTGTCAATCCATTTCTGCCAGATCTGGCGAGCGGCCCTTTCTGATAGTAGCACCTTCAGATCTTCATCTCTTAGCTCACCTACAGCAGTCAACCACGGAGAAGGGTAAAGTGCCAGTGAAGGTAAGAGGAAGAGAGAAAGCTCGAAAAAAGAGAGCTCATTAGTTAATCTGAGAAGTTGCCCTACCTTCCACCGGGAGGTGTTTGTCTACAGACCCAAACATCTGCTGCAGTTGAGACGCCAGAGATCGAGACAGCCTCAAAACTAGATTTTCATCGTCTTCTTCCTCAGTCCCCCTCCTCTCCGTCTCCCCGGCTGCAAATTTCCACAATGTCTCCAGGCTCGGCTCCTCAGAGGAAGCCTCAAGATCCAGCTCTTCTTGGATGAGTCGTGCTATCTCGCCGTCATCCATACACTCATCGTCACCGTCCGATGCCCACACCTCTTCCCCCCCTCCTCCTCCCTCCATCTCACTCTCACTAGTCATAGACGCCGCGGACGACCCGTCGTTGAATGCAGACCCAAGCCCCCAGTAATTTAGACCGCCTCCAAAGTAAAACGGGTCAACAGTGAGTGGTGACCAGTTGAACATCTCGCCAGCTCCCACGGGCGGTTGTGTGGGGGAGACGACGGAAGAGACTAGTGCAGTTGACACTGCCTCTTCGACGTTTCCATCACTCTGCTGCAGGAGTTTCTTCAGAAACGGACGCGAGAGGTCGGGGAAGCACTCCTTGAGAAACGCAAGGTCACTCTGAGCGTTTGGTACCTCTTTCGTTGAGGGACTGAATTCCTCCGCGTGTCTCTCCTCCGCCGCGCCAGAGGATGATCCAATGCAGTACGAAACACTCTCTCCACTGGCCTCTTGCACACTGCTATGTGGGGACCCCTCCAACGGTACAAGCCCCTCCCCCTCTTTCCCACTCTTTTCTCCCGAGGGCCACAGACTTACGCAGTTGCCCGATTCAGCTGGCGACGTCGACACACAGTTGACCGGTAGAGAACTGGGCACGACACCAGCATCGAACGATGAGGTAATAATGACGGCATTATTGGGGACTTCCCCACTCTCGTTCAAGCATAATCCAGGCGCAAGCGACGGTCTGTCAGTCTCAAAAGCGGAGGGGAAATAGTCTCTCCCACCCTCCACTACCAGTTCTCCTTCCTCCTCCTCATCATCGGGTATGAGGGTGGGTGTGCTGCACTGAACAGTAGTTGTGTTGGTAGAGCTATGAGCCGTGTCTTCTCTACGAGACAGTGATGTGGCTCCACCACTGAAATAGGCATCGGTTGGTGCAGTGACACCATTGAAACGTGTGTCGGTCGTGTGGGTAATTAGGTGGGGATTGGCAGGGGCCGGTTGACGTGAGGGGGGAGAGAGTAGGAGAGAGAGACGTTTGGAGGACGGCAAAGGACGTGTCTTTTGCTGCTCGGGAGACGTCTCGGAACTGGGCGGAGCAAACAGCGGCTCTTGGTTCTCCGGTTCAAGGTCGACGCCCCAGGAAGGATCTTGTAAGTGGGCCCCGCCTTCAAGAGGCAGTGGGGATTGCCTTACCATGTTAATAATAGCTGGGTCTTCGAACGAGGTGTCATCCGCAAAGCTTCCCGATTGTTCACAAGGGGAGGGGTTCGGAGATTTCGACCCGTCCGAGAGATGTGACTTGTTCCTGTGTGTGTGACTCGGGAGAGAGGGTGAGGTGGGAGCAAGGCTTCCTGCAGAGCGTTTTTCCACACTCTCCTCTCTCTTCTCCTCGTGGAACACGTTCTCAGAGGGCTCCTCGTACGGCCAAGTTTCAGTTTCAGCCGACACCCACAGCTCAGTGCTGGATGATCTGTGTCTGGTTGAATGAGACGGCCGTCTGCCCTGCCCTGTATCACTAGTCTTGTCGTGTGAATGGCTTCCATTACCAGATGCCCGGTTTTTCTTGACTTTGCCATTTTCCTTTGGATTACCTACCAATGTGGTACCATTGGTAGCTGTTTTGGTCTTTGTGGTACCATTTTCGTCAGTCTTGGTATCTTGTTTTCGTTTGGTCTGTTTGCCGATTGGACCAAATTCGCACGGCAGCGGGTGTCCCACTAAGCCGTTTATTTCAACAGGATCGCTCACCGCCTCACCCCCCACACGCTCCGAACCAGACCAACCCAAACCGTTAGAACCACTTCCACTACCAAACCGGTCCCAGCTCAAATTTGCACTAGTGGCACCTTTACGTCCCGGGACAGGGCGAGAGAGCCCAGCGTCCCAGACCCCCTCCCCCCAAACAGTCTGCGTCTCGCGATCAAGATGAGCCTCCGTGTCGTCCGAGAGTCTCCCTTCTCCCCAGATCTTGGACATCTTTGCCGCCCTCTGTTCTTCCTCCTCCTTGGTGAGATTGGACGGGGAGGGAGAGAGAGGATCACCGGTAGAACCAGGAGCCCCAGAGGGAGAAATAGCAACGGACTGCGCTGCGTTTGACTTATTCCCAGCTCGCTGGTCGTGCAGGGAGTTAAAGTTGGCAGGTGAATGTTTCGACATGTGGAGCTGTGCGGTTGGCGGTAGAGGAGGCGATAGGAAAGGTGCGGTGTCGTTTCTGCCTGATGCACCACTGCTGTTGGTTGTTTTACCAAGATTTGGGAGAGAGTGGGATGATGTAATAGGGACAGAAGACTTGCCAGTAGAGTGAGTTTGTTGGGTACCGCTAGAAATAGAAGTTGGGCCAAGTTTTGGGGATGAAAAAGAGGAGTTAATATTAGGGGCAGCACCAGATGTAGCAGTGTTAGGAGACAAGCCAACGTTTATATAACTATGTGAGCCGAGGTCTGGAGCAGCGTGGGTCGAAGCATGTGAAGGAACATGTGGGATAAGCCGATGTTAGGAGCAGTGTTAAGGGAAGGACGGGGTAAGCCAAGATTAGGAGCAACATGGGATGGACCAGCGGTAGCAGGAAAGTGGGGTGAAGCAATGTTAGGGGAGCTATGGGAAGAACAAATTTGACCATTGGACGAGTAAGAAGAGAGAGATACGTTGCTGGGTGGAGCCTGAGACGTCTTGGTGCCGGAGGTCGAGGTGAGTTCAGTGGGTGAGAAATGAGAAGATGAAGAAGTTGGTTTAGAAGTTTCCTGTTGTTTGTGGGACTGAGAAGGACGGAAACTTCGGGCATAGTGGGGGTGGGCTGGGGTCATGTGACCAGTCACATGACTAGTCACATGACCACCTCGGCCGCAGTTTTCTCTTCTCCTTGAGAAGCTGTGAGAGGCCCTGGTAACAAAGCCACACGGCAGAGATACATTTATGAGTCACTTTAAACAGAATGCATGTTTACTGACTGCGACCTGCCATTAATGCTGACTTCTCGACCAAACAAATGTGTCACATACTCTATGCTGCGTGAAGTAACTTGCCTCTCTCTCGTCGGTTTACGGCGGGCGAGGATGCTATCAACAGTGACTCCATGCTCGTATCGCTCCAACATCTTTCTCAATTTTGTCCCGGGGGACTCCGTGGCTGTTTCGCCGAGCCAGCTCAGAGGGGTTAAATCTCCACGGTGTGGTAGGTTCTACTATTTCTACCATGTACCCCATTGAACTGGCCTAAGGAGGAAGAGAGGAGAAGGAGAAGAAGAAGTCGACAAAAGAAACAGAAGTAGCAACGCAGATAAAAAGGGAGGTATATGCAGATATGCGAATTGTAGAAAGGGGCGTGTGCTTACAATATCAACATAAGGTTTCATCTCCCAGGCGGAGGTGTTGGTATTGTCAATTACCACAGGGGAGTTCTCAATCAGCATTGCCTCTCGAGCTGCAGTGACAATTAACGATGAAAATCGCACCAAAAAACTCCATGCGGCTTACCTTTTTCCTTATTTAGATCGTGATACTCACCCAACTTACTAGCATCAAATATATATCTAGACATTGAATCATAGTTAAACACGGTATGTATATAGTGTGTAGTAGTGAGGTTTCAAGAGAGAAAGCTTTCACTAATCGGTCCAAACCCATATCTTTTGTGGTAAAAATATTTCAGTCAAAGCTGTAAAACGTTTCTCTCTTCAGCTCTGAGGTGTGTGTATAATTTTACCGTCCGTCATTATAGAAGAAGTCATCGGTAGAGCAGATGACCCCATTTTTGCCAGCGATCTCTCTACGGAGGGGAAATTGTCATCACACTTCCCCGATACAGTGGTGAATTTATTACCTAGCCAGAGTGGATTTTGCCACTACCAGGAAGACCTCTCAGTAAAATCAGTCTCTTTTCAGCGGGAGTGGGGCTGTCGTTCTTTGCCCAAGACAGCCACTCTCTGCCTGCTTTTCTCCAACATACGACTGTCTCCTGTACTATCTCCCCCAGTCTCGACGTCATCCTGGGTGGTGGAGAGATGTTCAGTTCCGGTCTCAGACTCTATCTCCACTGGCCACCCGGTCCCGTGTGGTTCCGGGGAATGGGAATCAGACACCGACGAACCCGACGTCCTCATTCCGTTATTGTTTACTACAGTCTGAGTCAAGTTGAGTGGTTGTGGTGTGGTTGTCACCGTTTGGCTTTGCTTGTTTGTCACGTTTGTAGTTTTTTGTGGTTCGGACGTAGGGTGGGGGACAGGGGTGCCACTAGGGACCAAAGGTCTACCATTGTAGGCCAGAGCCATACCACCAGGTCTCATATTGATAGGGATTGCACCACGTGGTTGCATCACAGGAGTTCTCAAAACCATACCACCATGTACCAATGGCGCACCGTTCGGTCCAATTGGTATTATACCCCGAGGGGGACCACCGGGTCCAAACTGACCATTGGGTCTAAACACGGCGCCGCCACGTGGTCCCCTAGGTATACCACCAGGCGGTGCAATAATCCGCGGTTGCAGTTTGTGCTTTTGGTCGGCCCCTACTCCATATACCACTCCACCAAACATTGCCTGGGGATGGGGATAAGTAGGACGTCCACCGGAATAGTACTGCCAGTTGGGCGGAGTTTGATTATGAGGGGGGCGAGGGGGAATATTCCCCACCGGGGGTACTCCGGGTCCCCTTGGAGGGGGCAGATTCACCAACAGAGGTTTCTTGGCCACACCCCCTCCTGGATTTGTCATAATCTGTCTCTCCTTCATCTCATTTTTTGGTGACCCAACTCTCTTGCCATTACCCTCCTGAAACGAAGGGTTTCCCCCTGGGGGCCTGTTCCCGGGACCCCCTGGATTTCGCGATGGGGGGCCAGGGGATCTTTTTCTAGGAGATCTCTTATTGTGCTGTGGTTTCTTAGTTGAAGACTGCGACACACTGGGCCAGCTATCCTGTTTCACAATGTCGTGATGGGAGGGGCCAGTATGAGATATGATCTCTTCACTCATCTCTAGTAAATGATTGATACACTGCTCCACTAAGGGGAGGGGGGAGAAATAGAGGCGAGAGAGATGGGGTAACAAAACTACTCTGTACCGTTAATTAATACGTAGACAATCTTGTAACATAGACCAAGGCTTGCTGTGATGGTCCGGCGTGACACATGCATCGAACATGCAGAAGCTGACCGCGGGACAAGGGTGTGGGGTGCATAGCTACGAATTAGTATTACCGTTGTTTCCGCAATCGTTGAGGATGATAGCGATAACGTCACCTTCCACCGTTGGAAACATCTGCTGCAACCTGCTGATGTTGGCGTCCGTAGCCAGCGCCATGTCCCTTCTCGATCTCTTGAAAATTACAACAGCCAGGGGTCGCCCGTCGTTCGGCGTCGTTACTGACCTTTGAACCCAGCTCACGTGATACGCGCAAGCCACCGCCCACTTTCTTTTCTGCCAGCATCGCAGGGGAGAAAGATGCCTGCAGTTTTATCCAAAGTGGCTCCCTTGATAATCCAGCCTCGCGTGCTAGTGTCGTTGAGTGCATTAGTAGCTGGACTGGGTATCTACGTCACGCAGCGGAGGCATGGCAAGTGAGTCAATTTGTGAACCACCCACTATCTAGCTCCAACTTCCTGTCACCTCTCTCTGTGCATAATCCCTTCTCTCTCTCTCTCTCTCTCTCTCTCTTCCACCTGCAGCAAGTTCAAGGATAGCAAGCACCTTCCGTCAGTGAGTTGACCAATATTTTGAACCAATGCCTCGATGACTACTCCCTCTTTAGTCGGCAAAATCAAAAAGCGAGAGAGCGGCAGTAGACGCAAAGTTCATTTCTCAACTGCTGAGACTAATAAAAATCATCATCCCCGGTCCCTTCACTCCTGAGGTATTGTACATTACACCCATACTTCACTCCTCCTCTACTATTGTGAAAACAGTTTTTGAATGAATCTTTGTGTGTAATTATTTGAGATCCTGCCTAGAACAAAGATATTTCATTACATATGGCCTTTATAAATTGAACGATTAAAAAAGATTCCCATTTTACACACAGTTCATTGTCGCAATGAAGAAATGTATGATGGTAGTGACCTATATTGTACCTCAGGTTGGCTATTTGCTAATGATAGCAGTGATGCTGGTGTCCAGGACCTATGCTGACGTGTGGATGATCCAGAATGGAACAGCTATCGAGGGGTGAGTCTCATTACACAGTGCGATATCTCTCTGTCCGTGGTCTCCATAGTGGGCCCTGTATCGGCATCCTTCTAGCTGATATTCTTGCGCATTTCGCCATTAAATCTTCCCTAATCCACCCTCCATTGTGCTCACCTTCATCTCTCTCTCTCTCTTGCAGCTCCATCATAGGACGAAGCATGGAGTCCTTCTTAAAAAACCTGTCCAAGTTTGTATGTGCCATGCCCATTGTGAGTTACATACGGTGATGTAATAACCACAATGATTCATTGGCCCTGTGTACGTTCACTCACAGATTGCTCTGATAAACAGCCTCCTCAAGGTATAGTTGCAAGTCCTTGTGTGCATTACATGCGGTGTATTGCTGTGCTGTGCACCTTCAAATTATTGCTTGCTGCCTTATCATATTTGAACACTGAATGTGAATTCTTGTTGTTCTTGCTCCTCGTTGTTGGCTGGTGTGTATTATAGTACAGTCTTGATGAGCTGAAGCTGCGGTTTCGCTCGCGTCTCTCTCGTCACTTCTACAGCAGATACATGAGGTGGGTGTGGTCTGCATGATCACCTGATAATCACAGGGTTCCTCCCCATGTCACCTGACAGTGGTTTCACGTTCTACAAGATGTCAAATCTGGACAGTCGAATCAGCAATGCCGATCAGCTACTTACTCAGGTATATTCAGTCATCCTATATTATATATAGCTAGAAATTTTCAGGAGGAAAAATGTTGCGATTCAGTAGAATCTCCGGGGAAAATTTGTTTCCACTGTTCAAATGGTGCCTCTGACGCCAATTAATCACTAAAACTCCCTGGTGGCTGATATACAGCAGCAAAATTCTCAAAATTTTGTTCTTTAACATTTTTTGCTATGGTAAAAACAAAGGCTGAGCTGGTTGTACATCCATTATCTGTAGGATGTGGAGAAATTTTGTGATACTCTGGCTGAGCTCTACTCCAACATCTCCAAGGTCTACTCTCTCCCTCAGTACTTCAATCTTTACTCTGTCTTACTTCCCTCCACGGTTACATTAGCCTATCCTGGATATCACACTGTACGTGTACAAACTTACGGGCAGCATTGGAGCACAGGTGAGCCTGAAAAACTAATGATTGAATTGTACTCACTGTCTGTCTGTCTGTCCTTCAGGGTCCTATGACGATGCTGGCTTATCTCGCTCTCTCGGGATTTCTCCTGACAAAGTAAGCTCTCCTACTAACCTCTCCTAGTCTCAGGTACTATATACCCAGACCCCATACATAAGCGAGGAGTTTTTCAGCGCTGGGTCTGCGTAGCCTGTGTGAACTGACACCTGGTTTTCTGCACAGACTGCGGTCGCCCGTGGGCCCAATGACAGCTCATGAACAGCACCTGGAGGGACAGCTGCGCTTTGTCAACTCCCGCATCATCACCAACAGCGAAGAGATCTCGTTCTACCAGGGAAACGTCCGAGAGAAAGTCACCATCTACAGCACCCTTGACCAGCTGGTGAGAGCCCGACGCAGTCCAAAGAATCAAATGTGAGAAATTTCTGCCCGTTTTCAGATTGATCATCTGAGGAGTTTCGTGCTGTTTCGCTTCTCAATGGGATTCATAGACAGCATGGTGGCCAAGTGTGAGTTGACCTCTGACCCCCGTGTTGGCAGTGGTATAAATGTCCGTATACTGCGTCAGATCTGGCGACAGTGGTGGGGTATTACGCGGTGAGCAGACCGTTTCTCAACCTCTCTCATCCTCGACACTCCAACACCACCCACAGCGAGAGGATGATGGTACGAAGTACATTAGACGCTCTTCTACTTTCTCATCTCTGATTTCTGTCAACTGTCTGTTGTTGCAGGACTACTATAGCAGTGGCAGGATGTTGGTAAGGATGGCACAGGCTATTGGCAGACTGGTCCTAGCTGGTCGTGAGCTGACGCGACTTGCAGGGTGAGACACATTCTCCACCCCTCTTTATTTTCGCTTTCTGCGTCCCCAACTCCTTTCTCCTGGTGTCATCTAAAATATGTTTCTTTCTTCTTTCTGTTACTAGCAGGGTGTATAATTGGCGAGCTAAGCAAACCTACGTAGACGTCTGAATGCGGGGATTTTCATGTGAACGGGCACTGCAAATGGCGTAATGTTCTACGTGATTCTAAATACACGCGAGACGTTGAACTGATGGCGTTTGCTCGCCACAAATGAGTGATTCGTTCTAAGTCAATGCCTCCCTCTCTATCGTGGTCGTGACAGGTACACCACAAGGATGTCACAGCTCTCAGTGGTTCTGAGAGACCTCGAGAGGGGAGTCTATGAGAGGACTATGGTGGCCAGTGAAAACCAACAGGAATCAGATAATGGAAGTAAGCCAAGTAGCCCCGAGTTTAACTCAAGTTTTAGAGTATAGATGTACGTCCGTCTATACCACTGGTTCCCGGGAGTGGAGAGATCATCGAAACTGATCACGTCATTAGATTTGAGGGGGTTCCCCTCGTTACCCCCAACGGCGACGTCATCATTAGGTCGATGGACTTTGAAGTAAAGGGTGGGATGAATGTCCTGGTGTGTGGACCCAATGGCTGTGGGAAGAGTTCCCTCTTCCGAGTTCTAGGAGAAGTATGATAAGAACACCCAACTGTTCTAATTATAGGGACTCTCCTTCGATATTTCTTTCCGCAGCTGTGGCCGCTGTTTGGCGGGAAGTTGGTGAAGCCCCACAGGAGCAAGTTGTTCTACGTCCCGCAGCGGCCGTACATGACCCTGGGAACTCTGCGAGACCAGGTGACCTATCCAGACTCTGTGGATGACCAGGCCAGGAGAGGAGTCACTGACCAAGCCCTAGAAGACTTCCTCGCCAAGGTTCACTACATATTTCACTAATTTCGAGAAATCCTGAAATCCGCAAAGGTTTTAGCATTCCATGTACACATTCGTGAAACATAATTTGATTCATGCAAGTAAGTTTTTTTTGTTGCAAAAAGTTACTTTTGGGTAGGTAGATGAGAGAGAGGTGTTACGTGTGTGTGTGTGTGTGTCTACAGGTGCAGTTGTCATACCTCCTGGAGAGAGAAGGAGGGTGGGACTCCGTCCAGGACTGGATGGACGTCCTCAGTGGAGGAGAGAAACAGAGAATGGCCGTAAGTTGGTTATCTCCTCTCTCTTCTCTTCCTCTGTTCCCGCCCGTGACGAGATCTCTCCTCTGTCGCAGATGGCACGGTTGTTTTATCACGAGCCGCAGTTTGCCATTCTGGACGAGTGCACCAGTGCAGTCAGTGTGGACGTCGAGGGTTTCATATACTCTCACTGCAGAGAAGTGAGTCTCCACCACCGAATTCTCCCTGTGTTTTATATACACTGTTTCCGTGTCATTTGCAGAGAGGGATCACACTGTTCACAGTCTCACATAGAAAATCTCTGTGGACACATCACGAGGTCAGACTAAGGCAGGGTTCACAATATGTCGCATTGGCCCGTCGCGCCGCGCCGCGTTGCCGTGCCGCGAGGATAGACTCCATTTCTATCTTCGCGGCACGGCGCGACGGGGCAATGCGCCATATTGTGAACCTAGCCTAACACTAACTGGACACTATGATATATACTTGAACGTTGCTCTTGGTTCCAGCTGTCATTTGTTCACCTTAGTCTGTTCAGGCTTACATATGATAGTTCACAGCGTGTTCAAATTAGTCCTATGTGATCTATACTTGAGCTTATCTACTTATCTACGTGTGACATAATTCTTCATAAGTTAACACAGACACTGGTTACCCTGTGTTTGCAGTATGTACTACAGTTTGACGGAAGAGGAGCTTATGAATTCAAGGCCATCGACGCCGACACTGAAGAATTCGGTTCCTGAAAATTACATCTGCCACGTGGAAAGAACACACCATTAGCATGACTGTACATACTTATATAGGTATATATAATATTATTACAGAGTAATATTTATTGTTTTATATATATCTGTGGGTCAGGTAGCAGCTACATATTATTATAGTGGCTGTCTTGTTATAGTTCCATGCGTGGTTTGTCCAGCAAGTATCTGACGGCCTGGCGAATGGCGGAAAAATCTCCCTTCTCCGAAAAGTATTGCCTCACGGCCCCACTTCTGTCCCACCAGGTATTTCCCAAAATTCCACTGGGGCAGCGTTCGCGTAGACTCGTGCAGAAATGAGTACACGGCACTCGCGTCTCTTCCCGAGACGTCGACCTTGGAGAAGAGTGGGAAATTTATTCCGTAGCTTCGGGTGAATTCGGTTATTTCAGCCATCGACCCAGGCTCTTGTTCTCCAAACTGGTTGCAGGGGAACGCTAGGACTGTAAACCCTTCTCTTGAAAACTCGTCCTGCAGTTCGACCAGTTCTCTATAGTTGAGATCTGTGTAGCCGCACTGGCTGGCAACGTTTACCACCAGAGTCACCTGCAAGACCACAAAATGACCAACGTGAAACCTCTGCACAAAGGACACGCATCAAAAATGTCTTTTGTTCAGAGGTGTCCTTTGTTCGGCGGTAATAATGCAACAATGTATTAGTATGGAGGAGAAGCAAGTCTCTTTCATGGAGAGGTGTCCTTTTTATTCTGAGGTTCCTCTGTGTCTCAGCTAGCTGGAAAATACGCTGGAAAAGCGCGCTTTACCTGTCCCCTGTACTTCTGGAGGGAGACCTCGTTTCGCATGGCGTCCAGAGCGGTCAAGTCGTACAGACTCTTTGCTCCGAGCGAGGGACGGAGCAAGGCTAGAACAAGACACACTATCACGGCCGCAGTCTTCATGGCGGAGAGAAAACCGAGGAAGCAGACGGGGAAGAGATCTTTTTCGTCTCGACAAGCAAACAGCTGGCTGGACAAAGGGAGCGGCGCGCGCAGCTGGCCAGCTAGCTGAGCCACGCCCACAAAAAGTGAAGCGAGTGAGATCATGAAAAGAAGGCAGCAACAGCAGAGCGGTGGAGGGAAAGGAGGGGCCCGCAAGAGAGCTCCCGAGCACGGCAGCAGCAAGCACAGAGGGAAGATCCCGCCCGTGGATGTGCCGGTAGAGAGGACAGCAGCTATCAGATGGAGAAAGTTGGCTGTGTTGTTGGTGGGCGTGTTGGTCTTGTCCCTCGCCGTGTACTCGGTGCTACCTAACAGCTTCGGGCTGAGCTACACGGACAGAGAGGACGGTGACGTGACAGGGGAGAGGGGAGAAGAGGAAGAAAACGATGCTGATAGTGAGGAATTTGGGCAAGAAGAAAGCTGGGGATTCGACTGCGAGCGACTCATGGCGGAGGCCAGGACTATTCTCTCGCACGAGCCGAGAAGAAGCTGGGAGTCCGCGCTAGACCTGCTGGCCTCGTGCGCCCTCCAAGAACCGGAAAACCCGAAACCTCGCTGGAACCTGGCGGTGGCGTTGATACAGATGGAGCGACCGGACGAAGCCCTTGCGTTTATCGACGAGGCGCTATCCATGGACCGTAACAACCTCGACTACCTCAAATCCGGCGGCGCGTTCTTCTCTCGAATGGGTTTCCACGAGCAAGCTCTCCAGTGCTTAGAGCACTTTCTTGAGCTGTCTCTGCACACAAACAGCTGGGAGGAACTTCTAGCCAGCATCTCAGTCCAGAGAGAGGACGAATGGTTGTTTCTCTACGAGGCAGACGACAACGTTACACAAATCTTTGAGCTCCTGCTTCATTCGTACCTCCAGCAGAAGCTGCTGATAAAAGCTGGCTACATGTACAAAGTCCTCATTGGTCTCTTGGGGACAAAAGTGGAGCCTTCTTTACTGGTAGCTTACTCTCTCTTCTCCCTTGGTCTGGGAGATTTGGTGAACGGAATCCACTATCTCAGGAAGTACACAGAGATCCAGTACATGGCTCAGGGGTATGGGAGTGAGGAGCAGGCCTATGAGGTGGTGTCTGCACATTCTCTGAGGCTCTTTACTGCAGGGTTCGACTCACATATCATCAGTATAGTCAGGAACCTACTGATGGCAGGCCAGGCAGTGTGGGATGAGGCGGTGTACAATTGCCAATTGGACGAGCAGGAAAATGTGGAGTTTGAGCTCTTTGTGAGCCAAGAGGCAGTTAGGCGGTTGTTGTCAAGATGTGTATTAGTCCAGGGCATCATCCCCACTCTGTTACAAGACGGAGCCGTCGTGTACGCAGAGAATATCTTTGGTTGGACACCACTGCTTCATGCAGCTGCTCTCGGTAACCCTGCAATCATGGAGCAACTCATCTCTCACAATGCTGACCCTCAAGTCAGGACAGTTCTAGCACACACTTCTCTCCACATTGCAGCAAAGAGAGGCAGCTACGATATTGTTCTCCCCATGATCCAGTCAGGTCTAAAGGCAACTGAAGTAGACTATTTCAATAGAACAGCACTGCAGGTAGCATGCATGCACGGTTGGTCTGCCAAACCAATGGCCAATGCTCTTCAAGTTAATCTTCCACAAGGATGCCCTGTGGAGTTAAAGTACGAAGCTCCACCTAAACACAGCTTCCAAGGCGGGTGGCTCTCAAGTGGAGTTCGACTCCCGCACACACTCACCAGCGAACGCTGCGATTTCGACGTGATACCCAGCTCTGAGGATGTGCAGCAGTTTCTGTTTGACTATCTGGCTCTCCAGAGACCGGTACTCATACGAGGAGGTGGCGGAGGACCAGAAATGAAACCGTTCTTGGCGGCCATGCTGAGAAACAAACTCGAACACGAGCATGGAGCTATGCCTGTCAGAGAGATCCCTATACCTTTTGCAGAGACGTTTGGCTACCCAGCTCACCCCACCACCATAAAGGCCTATCTGGACAAGATAAAGGAGATGTTTTCCACGAGCAAAGGAAGTAACCACAGCGATTTGGAGTCACCAATGTTTATTTTTGAGCCTCTGCTGCCAGGTCATCCGCTGCTCCATAAGTTTAGAATCCCTTCAATTTTGAACCCAAACCGAACTCACATTTCTCTTACTGACATATACCTCACCCTAGGCCCCGCCCTGTCTGGGACTCCGCCCCATTTTCACCGCTCCTCCTGGCACCTATTAGTCTATGGACACACCCGCTGGTTCCTTAGCCCCCCGCCCCTGGCAATTTATGCAAAGATGACCGCCTGGGAATGGTGGTTAGAGAGGGAGGAGCGGAGGAGGAGAGGTGCAGAGGAGGGAGAGGGGGAGAGGGAGGGAGTAATGGAGTGTGTGCAGCACCCAGGAGATATTCTGATTGTACCTGACATGTGGGGACAGGCTTCGATAAACCTACGAGAAACTATCGGCATCGCCTCTGAATTTGTCTACGGTGCCTCAGAATTTTCAATCTAGCTTTATATTATACCAACATTGTTTCGTGGTGTGTTATAATAATTAACATCATATGAAATTCCAATTATAGTGTCTGAAAATGCTATACAGCTGCACATCAGAATTTTAGAAGTTAACATCAAGAGAGAATGAAATATCACGTTGAAATCAATGCAATGTTTATAAAACACAGGGAGATGGAGAGCAAGAGAGAATGCTGCGGTATTAAATTGGGAACTGTTACAATGGACTTATGTTTAGATACATACAGAGGCAGATATAAAATAATTATGGAGAATGACAAGATTGAGATTTGCTCAGTTTTCAGTTGAGGATTCTGCAGTTTCGGAATCTGAAGAGCTTTCTCCACCTCCGTTCTGGTGGTGTTGAGACTCTCTCTGAGCCGACATATCCTCCTCCTCTTCTTCTCCCTCCTCCTCTTCTACCTCACCCTCACCCTCCACTACCTCTTCTCCTCCTTCTCCATCTTCTTCCTCTCCCTCCGCTTCTTTTGATCCAATAGAAGTGGTTGTGGCAGAGGTGGACTGAGAGAGCAAGTTAGGAAGAGGAGGTGAGGAGGTTGCAGCCACTTTGCCATCTTCTCCAACTGTCAGCATCCGTTGCTTAGCTGACAGTACCTTTGGCTTCCTTTTTTTCCTACACATATACCGGAGAGAAGACACACCCATCATCAACTGAACATACAGCTACACTAACATCACCTTGACTTGGCAAGGATTTCCTGAGCGTCAGGATGTTCACTGTTGAATATTGCCAGATCCTCTTTATACCGCTCAACATTCTCTTCGTGTAGTTTGGTATACTTGATCTGAGACAAAAGGAGAGAGCAAAGCTACTTTGCACAAACACACACCCATTGAGAGATCAGACACATAGCTACAGAGAAATGCAAGTATTATTAGTAGGAAGCCCGTGTTGCCAAGGGTGGCCTTTTGGGGCAAAACATCCGGCTGTATTTGCTATATACTCCAGTACCCAAGCATTGGTTTGTAAGCACTATTAGAAGCAAGCCCACCTACATGGTCATCTGAAATAGTCGTTTTTGGTGTATGTATCACCAACTGTAATGTGGATGCTCGTAAAACTGTTGAGATTTTGTCACTTGTCACAACATCTTGAATTCAATCGTTTATTCATTTATAAGTGGGTGATAGGGACGTACCCTAGCCTCTGTGTCCATACTCTGCCATCTCTTGCCGAGTTTCACTGTGACTGCATTGGGAGGCAGGTCGGGGTACTTGCGATGCAACTTCTCTCTCTTCTTCTTGCAGAAATGGAGGTAAGCAGAGAGTGGCTGCTTCGGGAGTTGCGCCTTCAACTACAGCAGAAAGTTGGTGAGGAGAACACACATCATGTGAACAAAATTATCAGAAATCTGATCGACTACAGTGCGTAACCATGACACCAAATTCTAAAGGCGTGTGGTAAGAAAACATCTTTTGTTGCCTATTAGTTTCGGGATACAAGTTCAAGTGTGCATAAGGAGACAGGAGTGGGAATGGATTACGCGCTCACCTCTTTTATTCTTCTCTGTTCTTCAGTCTCGGTATCAGCGACAGCTGCAGCCTTGCTCACTTTCTTTGACCTGCGCAACATAGCTTTAGTAAACCTACTATAGTAAGCATGTGTTGCAGTTGAAAAAAGTTTGCGAAACTAAAATTAACATTGCTTCAATTGCTCATGGGATTTCAGCTTCTCTCTCAAGAGTGTCCTAGTGTGCGTAACTACCTGGAGCCGGAAGGCTGTTTTGGTTGAGGTCTGGCATCAGGATGCTCGTCATAGAACTCTTTCAGTTTAACCTCGTATGAAGCCTTGAGCAGTGTATGCTGCTGCTTGTATTTCTCCTTCTTCTCCTTCGGCAGAGCACTCCATTTCTTTCCTGACATAAAACAGCAGTTTAATTCTAAATCTTAATCAAAGCACATCAACAATAATATCGCACACTTAATAAGAACACAAATTTAGTATATACCCACCTATCTTTGTGGCCACTTCGGTCATCAGAAGGTTGGGGTACTTCTGTTTCAGCTTCGGTTGTTTCGACTTCATGAACAGCAAGTACGGCGAGAGCGGGCCTTTGGGAAGTAAATCTTTGTACTGCAGAGAGCGAGGGGAGGGTGACCGATTATCAATAGCACAAAAGATAGATTTGAACTTGCAATGAGCGGCCTATAAACACTCTCTCATTTAAATAAGAAACCCACATCATAATGTATGGGGAATGTGCCAGAAATTTCCTGAATGTGCAGGAATTTCAAGCAAAACGTAAGAAATTTACGGCACAACAATTTAGTGTTTATACTGTATTAAGAGGGAGATAAGGTATATACACACCTTGATTCTGATCTCCTCGCGATGAAGTGTATCCACAGAGAGCTCTGCATATGGTCGAGTGGTGTCCAGAATTTCAGGAATGGAGATGTCTGAATACTGTGGGGAGGAGAGAGAGAGAGGGGGGACAAAGCCAGAGAAAGACATACTCAATTGTCTCTCAGTTGGCAGAGTCTGCTAAACACACACGGTTAGACAAACACTAGTCAACTTTCTGAAAGCACCAAAGTTGCCCAGCGTAAAAAAAATGTAGCTAGCAAGTTGCCGAGATTACAAAATCTGTGAAATATTTCGCTGCAAGTTGTGTCGTGTAAGACGAGGTTAAATGTAATGAGATGGTCACCTCTCTGCGGATGAAGTACCAGATGAGGTGAAGATCCTGTGGCAGAAGAAGGCCGTCGACCATCTTACTCCAGTTTATGTCACTGAGGTGATCTCGAGGGTCCAATCCACAGGCATCTGCCCTCTGGGCGCAGCGGTGGACCAACAGTGATCCCATGTGTGCCATCCATGCTTAGGGGGAGAGGGAGAGAAGTATACCACATCCTTATTATCTACTACGGCCCTATAAATTGAGGGTATTTGTGAATTGTAATAGCTACGTAAAAATGCTCTGGAGTTTCAAACTATCGTGCTCTGTTTGAGAGAGAAGAGGGAGTAAAGGAGAGAGAAGAGAGGAGAGCCAGGTAAAGCGTGAGTCTGGCGGCTAGACAGCATATATAGTAGGAAATCCTGAACCCAGACCACCCACATAAGGTGTCCCTAGGTACATGTATGTTTCGACTGCCTATGGCTAGCTAAGACTGCAGCTCACATCCAGGAGAAGGCCGCTGTGGTTTCAGGTACCAATTCTTCGGAGGTTTCCTCTTAGCGGCGGCTGTGGAAGTAGCGGCGGAGCTGGCCTGACTCGCTTCTTCTCCAACTTGTAGCTGAGGAGAGGAGCCCGCCACAACCACGTCCTCCTCTTGCTCCTTGGAGGACGGAAGGAGGGCCAGGGAGGGCTCGGGAGGCGGTGCGGAGTCCGGCCGCTTGCCGGGGCGACCGCCCTCTTTGTCTCTGGACATTAGCTTCTTCTTCTTTGCCGTCGGAACCTCTGAAAACCACAAGTGTCACGATGCTATGGAAGTTCGTGTTCGTGTACCTGACTGAATGGAGCTTACTGGCTCCTTGGATCGTTTCCTGGAAACTGCTGTCACTCTCTGCTGCTGAGTCTCCATTGCCGTCTTTCTCCCACCCGCGCAACACACAAGCGGAAGGTGGGCATCAATTGAAAAAAAGATGGGCGTGGCTAAAAGGTTGTTCCTCTCGTGGCTGCTGGCGCTAGAGCTGGTGAGTCTAGAGGCCAAGAGAGACGTCAGGAAACTCGTCTTTGACGATGACGGCCGGTTTCAAGATTGCGCAGTTTGCAGATCGTAAGGGTTTAGAGTAGCTAGCCAAATACTCGCTGATTCTGCTGCTCTCTAGTGCACTTTGGGGAGGCGGAGGACACGTTATGGGGACCGCTGCAGGACGTGGTGAGTCTATACTCGCACAATCGTTTTTCCTCACGTGATCCTCCTGGCCCACCACATGCACATTGCATGCACCACCACTTTATATCATAGAACTCGACGAGAGTGATGGAGCGTGTGTTGGCATGGGAGAGCCCCAAACTGGTGGTCTACTCTGGAGGTGAGCAACTGTGGCAGTGGTAGGGGACCGCACCGGTCTGGTACCATTATAAAGACCAGGTGACTGGAGAGAACATCAACAGTAATGCGACAGCCTACTGGGGCAGGCTCCTCCAGCCATGTGTGAGCACTGACACTCCATGGGCCACTGTCTTCGGCAATCACGGTGAGCTATCTCCTCTTCTCCTATGACTACTAGGTTGATAATCCCTGTTCAGATGATAGGAGTGTCAGTGGAGGGACACGGATAGATCTTTTGACGTTTGACAAAAGTTTCAATCTCTCCCTCTCACAGTTTGGGCCTGTGAGTACGTCCCTTACTGATACCTCTATCCCCTCTCTCTCTCCTTCTCCTTTACATTCTCTAGAGCGATGTACATGGCCTTACCAACTACTATCTTCTGCTGTACTCCAACGATAAAGCCACTGTATGTTGGTTGTACTATTAATTTGAAGATCGGAGTAGCTAGGGTTCATACCTTACTCCAGATTCCTTTGTGGGTGATCTATTTTCTGGACAGCGGAGGAGGGACTTACCCCGAACTGGTCTACCCCGATCAGATTACCTGGTTCAACAAGACAGCTAGTGACATCACACATACCTACGGTCCTATTCCAGCTCTCGCATTCTTCCATATCCCCAGGTTTGCTTCTCTAATCCTCCCCTCCCCAACCTCCCCTCCCTCTCTCTTCAGTCAATCCCGATGTTCCTTCTGTGGTTAAAAAAGGTGTGTATAATTATAATTTATTTGCAGTACGGGGTATGAAGATGTGTATCAGAAAAGCCTGTGTTTTGGATTGGATGATGATGATGTCACTCCACAGATAGAGCCCAATGGTATATATATTATACACAACAATAAGGATTGAAAATGCATCAAGTAAAAGCTGCGTTTTCTGCGAAACTCTCTCGCAGAACAAAAGGGCATTTTACTTGTTTTCTCTTTTTTTTTCCTTCTGCATATATCGATATACCTTAGCCTGTAGGGAGCCTCTTATAGACACTCTGCCCCTCTATCTACAACACAGGCTTGCTCTGATTTGAACCTTCGTGGGGTTATCTGTAATGTTTTAATGTCGGTCGGTTGCCCATCTCCATCAGGTCTTTTGTCAGTGCTGGCCCGCCACGGAGTGGTGTGGGTCTCAGTTGGTCATGACCACGGCAACGACTGGTGTTGTCCCAGTTCAGCTGGACCCACTGTCTGCTACGGCAGACACACCGGATATGGAGGATATGGAAGGTCTCTCTCTCTCCCTTCGTCTCTCTCTCTCCCTCCTCTCTCTCTCTTCCTCTCTCTCTCTCTCTCTCTTCCTCTCTCTGTGGGAGAAAACCACTGTGTATTGCCGAATATGGGCACTCTACAAACTCAATTTTTAGGCCAACTCTCAGACCTTGACAACTGGTTTTTCCCCACGCAGGTGGGCCAGAGGTTCTAGACTGACAGTATTGAAGAGAGACAGTTTGACTGTGGACACATACGTCAGGATGGAGAATGGCAGTATTATCGACGGAAACAACAAACACATTAACAAAACAGCACCACTTTTAAATAATTTCCCCCTCAGTGTGTTATAATGTTTGGTGACAGAAAGTTAAAACAATCCATGGAAATAATGGCAAAAGAACGACAGCTAGCAAAATGTTGAATAATATCGTAGAAACCACGCATAAAGACAAACGATTCTTACGTGCACAGCTAGTCTTGTGCCGTGGGAAATTTGAAAATCATTATTTCTGAGGATTCAGCAAAGCAGTAAGCTTGTGTACAATACAGAGAGATGATTGTAAGTGTGTGTGTGTTAGAGTCACTGAGAGAGCTCATTGGCCTCAAACTTGGCTTGGTCATACATCTGTGCCTTGATCATCTTGCCTCCAAACCACCGTCCGTTCAGGGAAGATATGGCTGCCTCAGCCTCTGCTCACACAGAGAAAGAGAAGAGAGAGAGAATTTATGATATCCACACGCTCTATGACAAATGGACTGGTCACTGAGCTGCAACATAAAACTGATGCAACCCTTCACTCTCCTCCACATCTAACCAGAAGGTTTGGAGAACATGACAAAGATTTTGACGATGGTTTCAGCGTCATCCTCCACCCCCTGTTTCTCCTGATAGATGACCACCCTCTCGACAGCTCCGTACTTACTGCATTCCCCCGTCACCTCATCCTCCAGTTCCTCATCCAGGTCCTCTGCAACCACCATGTTCCTCAGTACTATCACCGACGACTGGGGGAATAGAATAATACATATACCACCTTCTGAGAAAAGCTGGTGTTGTGAAACGAAAGAAGAAATGACCCTCTTTCTCACTTTTTACATTTTGCTGACCTCGCTCTTCCGGGAGAGTTTTTTCATGATCATGAGTCGGGCATTGCTGCCAGAGATGGAGACATTCTCCTCCTGTTGGAGTGTCGTCACCTCTTGTCCAGTGTGCTTCTGCTTCTCTTCCTGGGCCATCTGGAGCTTGGCTTGAATGGCGTCCAGGTTCTTAGCATCGACTCTTATACCTGAGGATCGGGAGGGAGGGGGGAAGGAAAAAAGCGAGGAAGAGGCTGGGAGAAGGGGATGTGGAAGGAAGTGGAAGGAACATGGTGAAACTTCTGAATATGGGAACATTGGAAGTGTCCTTTAGTCGGAGTTAGTAAAATGCACTGATGTATATACTAGTATAAGGCAGAACCATGTGTCCCTTATGGAGAACCGTTTTATATTCGGAGGGTCCTTTGATTGTTTCACTGTATAGGCCAGGGAGGGCAACGTGGGGGGTTAGGTGGTTGTGAACAAAAGATGAAAGAGAGAAGAGGAGGGAGGGAGGGAGGTGGTGCATATACCAGTAGTAGAGCTGGCAGCTGAATCAGCCACCTTGGGGGCGGGCTCAGGCAGGTTGGGGATAGTATTGAGGATCGGCATTACTGCAGATACAAACACATGAGAATAGTAGGTGTTGGTGTGACAGTTGGTGGTGGGCTCACCAGATGCAGCCTGCTGGGCAGCGGCGTTCATCTCCTCAGCAGTTCCGAATGGAGTGGTGAGTATCGTGGGGAGGACTGGGGCAGCATTGGGTGGGTACAGCTGCATCGGCGGAGTCAGCGCCTGTAGCAGAGAGAGGGAGAGGAGAGCAAGTTCACACCTAACCTGCAGAAATCTTTGCTTGAGAACTGTATAAAACATGTGCTTGATATGGGACTCTTTAAAATGCTGTTGGCCCACCAAAATGGGTCAAAAAGGTGATTTCTGATGTATTTACAATGTACTTGCTAGAATTCAAGTAAAAAGCTGCATGGTTGGTAAGTATGTGAGAGAAAGGAACAGAGAGAGATATCTCCAGCTCACCCCATGTGAGAGAAAGGAACAGAGAGAGATATCTCCAGCTCACCCCATGTGAGAGAAAGGAACAGAGAGAGATATCTCCAGCTCACCCCATGTGAGAGAAAGGAACAGAGAGAGATACAATCTCCAGCTCACCCCACGGACTCGGAGAAACTGGCCTCCGAGGTCAAACAGGTTCATGGAAGTTATGGCATCCTGGGAACTCTTCTGCGAGGCGTAGTTGACGAAGCCCCACCCTCTGTGTTTCCCCGCCGCGTTACTGGGGGCCAGGTCCACCTTGGTCACCTTACCAAACGCTTCAAAAACACTGCAGAGCAGTACACAGGTAGTGAAAATGCACAGACACACGACAGGAAAAATGATTTGTATTATCAACTTTCCCTACCTAGTGTTTAGTCAACACATTTAAAAACAAAACGGACAGTTTAATACAAAGTTCAGCACTATTCAGATCACCTCTTGACATCTTGGGAGCTGAGGTCCAGATGGATGCAGGTTACGTAGATACGAGGAATCCTGGTGGCTTCTTCTTGTATAGCAGCTATGACTGGAGCTGCCTGCGGAACGTTGTTGGGTCTTCCCACCTGGACACACGGGAGGAGAGGGGGTTTGGGGGAAATGGGAGGGCAAGAGAGGGAGATGGTGAGGAGGAGGAAGAGAAGGAGAGAGAAAAGCAAGTTAGGGGGAAACGTGAAGGCAGTTAGTTCTTGCGGACCTTGATGTTCCGGCCTCCCATGACCACTCCGTTCATCTGCTCCAGGGCCAGCTGAGCTGCCTCTGCTGTCTCATACTCTATGAAACTGTAGCCCTTGTGCTTCATGGTGGCACTGTCCCAGGACATGTTGAGAGCCTTGATGGTTCCAAACGGCTCAAACGCAGCACCTCACCTGCCAACAAACAATAACACACGTCAAACATTGTATTAATAACCCTTTGTGACCTCAACTCACAGCTTCTTCCCCGAGTTCAAAGTTGATGCTGCCGATGTAGATACGACTCATTAGAAGCAGTGCTCGCTGTCTGTTGGCAGCATCCTGCAGTTGCTGCATCTGACTCACCTGCTGCTGGGCCTGCTTCTGTTGTTGCTGTGGCGGGAGACAAGGGGTTAACACAGTGTAGTGTGAGAAGGGTTAAAAAGACATACAAACTTGTTGGAGATGTCCTGGCAGTAGCGTTTGGCCAACTGGAGAGCTTGTAGCTGGTCGGCATTGAGGACCGGCAGAGTGGCAGGGGTTATCAGACGCCCCGTCTGCTCTGGCTCCTTCTCTGTGGGAAAGGGTTAATCGTAGTTTGTCTATAACGGGTTAACGGGCCTACCATTTGGCACTAGCTGATCCCATCCACTTCTCCTTTTTTTAGCATTCTTGAAGGGTTGGAAAAGTATTAGATACAGAGAAAAACGACGCTATTAGCTTACTTGTGATTCGTCGGTCGCCATTTTGCCACGAGCAGAGGTCACAAAGTCCACGGTGACATCATCATACAGATTACGTCATAATGGCGACTGTCTGCTGCAAGAGCAGCGAGGAGAAAGGCCCACATCATCGACCAGAGGAGCTCTGAAGAACCCTTTTGTGGGTAACGTCTCTAAATATGTTCCCCTTCCACCGTCAGAGCAGAGAGCGGGCGTGAAGAAGGGGCGACTGCAGTTCGACGCATGCTTCGAGAGCGGTGAGCCCCACCCATCTTTCCCAGCCAGCTCAAAAGTGGACATGGTCGTCTTTCTCTTCTCCGACCTCCATTGCAGGCAACCTTGGAAGAGCGGACTACGTTAGCGACTACGAGTACGACCTCTTTATAAGACCGGACACATGCAATCCCAAGTAAAATGACCGTCCGTTCAATTTCAGTGTAGCTAGCTAGCCACCTCAGGTTTAGAGTGTGGTTCAATTTCGCGGTGAGCAACGTCCGCTCGGAGCAGCGAGTCATCTTCAACATCGTCAATTTCAACAAGACCAAGAGCCTGTACAGAGACGGCATGAGTCCGCTAGTCATGTCCACTTCTAGACCAAAATGGTGAGTAAGAAAACGAGAGATCTGGGGAAAAACAAGTCAAAGGTTTTATGCCTTAGGCAGAGGATACCGTCCAAGAGTGTCTTCTACTATCGCTGTCCTGACCACGGCAACAATTACGTTCTCTCCTTCGCCTTTGCTTTTGACAGAGAAGAAGACATTTATTACGTGAGCAAAAAGCATTTTGCAGCACAAACCAAATATATTACTTACACGACTAACTGTGTCTGCAGTTCTCCTACTGCTATCCATACACCTACTCAAGGCTCCAGCAGTATCTGGAGAGGGTGGATGCTCTCAACCTTCCCTACTGGAAGAGAGAGCTCCTCAGTCAGAGTGTGGTGGGTCAACCACTTCCATTCCTCACTCACTCCTGACTTTCTCTCTCTTCTCTCTCTTACTCACGGTGACTTTCTAGCAACAGCGAAGACTGGATGTTGTCACCATCAGCTCCCCACACAACTTGCAGACCGACTCTCACCAGAGAATGGTGTTCATCACGGCCAGAGTTCACCCAGGGGAAACCCCTGCCTCTTACGTCTGTCAGGGTACAGTATACAGTTCTGTGCACACAGATGAAGACATTTTGTCAGGCATTGAGGAGAGTGGCATGAGGAATTATGTATTACCACAGAAGTACTCTGACGTTCTTTTCTCGTGATCTACAGGTTTGATAGACTTTTTGCTGAGCAGTGAACCAGAGGCAAAAGTGCTGCGAGACAACATTGTCTTCAAGATAGGTCTGATCGGCACATATATACCCCGATTGATATATAGCTATACTCTCGTTCTTTCATACACCCAGTTCCCATGCTGAATCCTGATGGAGTGTTTCTGGGAAACTACAGGTAAAGCTATTATATATCCATCATCTCACAGTATATATTCCTCTCATCATGGTACATCAGTGTATATACCAAGTTTCATTGTTAGAGGACCAACCATAAGCAAGTCATGATCGTAACCTAATTCAGGTGTTCTCTGATGGGATTTGATCTGAACAGACACTGGACTGAGCCTTCTCCCTGGGCCCACCCTACTCTTCATGCAGCCAAGGAACTGGTGATGCAGTATGACAGAGACCCAGTGAGCTAGAGACAGACAGTTTCAGAGAGGGGAGGGGGGAGTAAGATTGATAGAAGTTTGTTACTTGTTCGACTTTTTTTCAGAATATCAGCATTGACTTCTACATCGACATACACGCCCATTCCACCCTGACCAATGGTAATGAATCCGCCATTACATCATTCTGACATCATACCACTGATGATGCTATGTAGGGTTCATGATCGGTAATCTGTACGAAGAGGAGGAGAGACTAGAGCGACAAGCCATTTTCCCCAGACTCCTCTCACACACACGCCCAAGACTTCTCCATGGTACAGCTATACAACAACACACCACGTTTGTATATATACTATGGCTCACCATCACTGGCGGTTCCTTTCAACAGAGGAAAACCTCTTTCAATAGAGATGTGGTGAAATCTGGCACTGGCAGAAGGTCAGTGTAACTAATGCACAGTTGCTAAATACATTAGACAAAAGAGTCATTTGATGTATGGCTATGATGGGGGCTCACAGAAGTTGTATAGAAGAGGTTTTTGTTGTGTGCAATGAACTTGCAAGTCACCACTGCAGTTACCAGGATTTATGCAACATTATTATGATCTGTGCATGTTGGGTTAATCTGTTCATACTTCCACCCTGTGTATAATCTGTTCATACTGCCAACCTGTGCATATATCTATCCACATATTGCCGGAGTTTTGTTAATCTTATACCTCCAGGTTCCTCGGGGGCTGTTTAAACCCGGTAACCGCCTGTTACACCCTCGAGGTCTCCTTCTTCAGCTACTCCACTGCTGAATCTCACACTCAGGCTCCGTACACTGAGTCCTCATGTATCCATACCAACAGCCCTCCTCACTGCTAGAGCTACATACAACCCCTAGTTAGGGTGCATTCATCACTCTCAGAAGTTTTGCTGTATATACAGTATATCATAGATCTATGACAGTAGTAAGGCATATTGTACAGAGAACTTCAGCCACGACTAGCTTTTTCCTATGGCAAGTACACACACACTGGCACCATTGTGACACGTCAAGTGGTAATGGAACATTTCACACACTGCAATGTTAGTGTTTCTAGCTCCATTTCTACTTGAATCATTAACCATTTGGTTGTCAACCTAAGCTGGTATATAATAATGGAAGTGGTGTTGTGCATTCCTCCTTGTGAATCCGTCCTTGACTGGCTGGCCACCAGACCTGGAACTGGGGAGGAGCTGTGGCTAGAACATTCCTCACCTACTACAATCTGAGACACCTCCTGGCCACCAGGAATAAGACCACTGCAGACTCCCACACTTCCAACACACTGACTCCTAGCTAGCTGTGAATCCAAGACACACACCCCTACCAACAATCATTAACCTTTCTCCCTGCACCTGTATGGTGATCAGATTTGCGCTTCGCACAATGTTCGCTTCATTAGCACTCTGTCTTTCTGAAAATCGTCACCTCCAAGCACCTATAATTATATCTCAACTGCATTGCACACACGTGGTGAAATTTGGAGCACTAAACGTAACGTGTATATAGCCATCCAGATTGAGCAGAATTAAATACAGGCACAATTGATGAAAAGGCAAGAGAGAGGCGTGAGTGTTGAAAAGTTATGGTTGCTGTTCTTTTTTCTTTGCCAAAAGTGACTGAAGTGCTCTCTGTCTCAGCTGCAGTTCAATCGCCTTACTCTTGTCGACCTTTGCACCCTGCGAAACCTCCACATCCTCCCGTCCCTCTTCCCCAGCCTCTTCCCTCTCCCTCCCCACCTCCCCCTTCTCCCCTCTGCTGCGCAGCTCGGCCTCGAGTGCTCGCTGCCGAAACCCAATCTCTCGAAGCCGCGCCCACTCCGAAACCTCGTCGGGAAAATCGCACAACCAGCAGTCGTCCAAGTCGCTCTCAGAACTCGCGTCTTCTTCCTCCGAGGACACGGAATCTCTCTCACTCTCTCGTTCCTCTTCTCCTTTCTCCTCCCAAACCGTGGTGGGTCTCTCCTCCCTGCTAATGTCAGAGGTGGTCGTATCACACTCCATTGTCTGTGTGGGTGACTCATCTCTCGAAATAGGAGAGAATTGTACCTCCTCCTTTATTTCTCCACCATCATCACCGGCACTTCCCATCTCAGTCCCGGTAGTCTCCTCTTCTCCTTCCTTTATACTCGTAACTTTAATAGGAGCTCCCACTCCACTTGTATCGTCGCCCCCAGCTGCCGTTGGTGGTGGAACAGGGTCTTCAACTCCAGATGCAGTCTGTTGTGGTTTAGTTTCTCCACCGGCAGCTTGGTTCCCTAGCAGTTCTAACACTGCAGCGTCCAGATTTAGAGAATTGGTGGAGGTCTGCGGCTCAATGCAGTCCATTACATCCTCCCCCGACATGGCCTTCAGCTGCTCCAGACACATCTGCCTCACCTGTCGCAACTTTAACCCCTGCACAACACCATCAACAGTTCACACTAGAGATACCTCTGCACAAAAGGCAGCCGTCTTGACTTGCAATAGCTATACACAATGATGTATTACAGTGGAACTCCTCTAATCTTGACACTAATAAGACAGAAGAAAGTGTCCTTTGGTTTACGAGTGGAGGTATCTATACAGTTCTTGCCTTTAGTATGTCCGGGAGCATTCCTCTGACGTCATCCTCAGAGAGAATGGTAAAGACCTGGTCGAGAAGCTGGACTCTATCTTCCATGTAGTGTCGGAGTGTCTTGGGTACCTTCACCTCCCCAGATATCACCAGTTTCACCAGCTCAGAGATCGTCCGCACTTTCTTTTTGGTTCCAGCACCGCTGCTGCCACGCTCTGATTTACTGCTCTTGCGCTGTTTACTGGGAAACGGTGAAAACTCACTAAGTTGGTGGCGCGCACTAAATAGAAATGAGCGGTTTGGAGACGAACTGACTCACCTGGTCTTGTTTTCGCGACTGCCTTCTTCTCTTCTCCGCTTCCGACGTGCACTCTTCTCCTCTGATCTCGACTTCCTCTTCTTATCTTGCTCTGAGCTCGAGACAGACATGGTCGATCCAAGCACATGCGACGATGCGCGGGCGCGCGATGAGTGGGCGTTGCTAGAATTAGCCCTACCCACCCACCTCTCGACCGAGGAAGAGAGCCGGACAGAAAATGTCAGCCAGACAGCGGGCAGTGCTGACGAATGCTGGCAGCGGGAGAAGGGTCCAGAAAACCTCTGACGACTCACAGAACAAGTCCTCAGTTGCCCGGAGCTCGACACGCGCGCCCACCCCGAGCATTCTGCCCAATCATCTCGTGATCCTCTTCCTCGTCTCCCTCGCGGCCCTGGCCGGCCTCGCTCTCCGGCTACACTGGAGCCTCCCTCAGCCGATCCAGACGGCGGATGGAAACCCGAACGCGTTCAACTCCCGAGACGCGCGTCGCCACCTGGAAGACATCGTGGGTCTCGGCACACGCCACGTGGGCAGCGAGGCTAACGAAGTGCACGCCGTGGCTCTCCTCAGGAAGAAAGTGGAGGAAATTCGGAGGTTGGCAAGTAGGCAGGTAGAGATCGAGCTCTCAGTGCAGCAGGTTTCGGGTAGCTTCGGCCTCGACTTCCCCGACAGCATGACGCAGCTCTACCGGAACGTGACGAACGTCGCCGTCAGGTTCTCGAAGAGAGGCTCCAGTCCCCGCCACGCAGTCCTCGTCAACGCGCACTACGACTCTGCCGTTGGCTCCCCGGCCGCCAGCGACGACGCGGTCAGCTGCGGCACAATGCTGGAGATCCTTCGAGCCCTCGCCTCGGACCCACAGCCGTTTCTCGCCGACCATTCCATCGTGTTTCTCTTCAACGGAGCCGAGGAGACGGTCCTGCAAGCGTCCCACGGGTTTATCACGCAGCACCCCTGGGCTAACGAGGTCAGAGTGTTCCTCAATCTGGAAGCTGCTGGAGCGGGAGGGAAGGAGATTGTGTTTCAAACTGGTCCCGGTCACCCTTGGCTCGCTCGCATGTACGCCAGCGTTGTCCCGCATCCATTTGCCTCCGTCATTGCCCAGGAGGTGTTCCAATCAGGAGCCATTCCTTCAGACACTGACTTCAGGATATTCAGAGATTTTGGAGGTGTTCCTGGCATCGACATGGCCTACTTTGTCAACGGATATGTATACCATACAGCGTAAGTAAGGTCTCGGAGAGTAGCGTGGTTTGAGAACTGAGTTTCTTTCGGAGGCTTGGGATCTGAATATTATTGGACAATCTAGGCACAAAAATGCAATTGATTCTCGAACAGTTTCTTCCTAAAAATTGCATAAGTTCTCACTATTTTCCGCAGGTATGACACGGCAGATCGAATCCCGGATGGAAGCATACAACGTGCAGGGGAGAACGTGATGAGCATGGTGAAGGCCCTGGCACTGTCTCCCCTCCTGGAGGACCCGGGCGCTGACCGACACGGGAAGGTTGTCTTTTTCGATGTTTTTGGTCTCTTCTCAGTGGTTTACCCCGAGAGGTTGGCAGTCATCTTCAACTCTCTGGTGCTGGTCGGCTGTGCCGTCAGTCTGTGCTCTGGCATTTCTCTCAAACCTCAACAGCTGGGTAAAATTGCAGTCTAGACGTCACGGAACCGCACTGCATTAATACACTAGAACCTCCGATAAAGGACACTCCAAATGAAGGACACAATAGAAAACAAAACCTCTCAGTAAAGGACACACTTTGAGGTCCCAAAGTTCACTTTTTAAATCTGCAAAGAGAGGACGACAACCACCCTATAAATTCTGGTCCCAAAATGTCCATTATTCAGAGGTTCCACAGTATTGAACAATTTCCATAAGAACCTGCATTCTAATGATATATTACTCTCCTGCAGAGAAGCCATCTCTTGGGATGGTGGTAAAGGCAGTTCTGGTGACCCTGGGGTCCTGGCTGGCAGCTCTAGCAGTGAACGTTGCTACGTCGCTGCTGCTCGACTGGACTGGTCACTCCATGACCTGGTTCTCCCACCCCTCCCTCCTCCTGCCTCTCTACATAATCCCTGCTCTCCTCGGCATGGCTGAAGTTCACAGCTTCTGGCTCAAAACTGTATATACACCCTCTTTAAACCATATAGTTGCTAATGTTGTGTCTGTAGTACAGATTTGTACTGGAAAACTCTGGAAGTACAGTAAATTCTCTCTTCATCTCCTCTCTCTCTCTCTCCCAGACGCCAACACTCAAATCCCATCTCTGTGAGCCGAGCTCCAAACATGCTCAGACGCTGGTGTCAGGAGCCACGCTGGCTCTCCTCACGTACCTCAGAGTCTGCTCTGCCTTCATCTTCGCCGTCACTCTCCTCTTCCTCCTCACCTTCCGCCGACTCCTCTGGGACGGTGTCCTTCGCCGGGCGGTCCCTCTGTCGTCTCCCCACCACAGACTCGCCTTTGTGTTGTGTGAGACGCTCTCAGTGAGTCTGCCCCTAATGTTGGGGCTAATTCTGGCCTCCTCTCTCGTGGATTTCCTGGTCCCGATGTTCGGGAGATCGGGCAGTGTTCTTCCTCCTGATCTGGCCATAGCTGTCATACTGGCTCTCCTGGTCTGCCTCACCCTCTCCTCCATTGTGAGCATTGATTATAACAAATGCAACACCAGCAAACGCAAATTGTGCAATTTATATATAGCGCATATGTATTTATAATCATGTGAAGTATATATTATTATGGTGTATGTGCAGTGCCTGTCAGATTGGCAGCAAAGGTGAGTAGTTACAAATCCACCTTTAAACTGTATGCTTAATACACAGCTCCACACTACTCAGCAGTACTGGTAAATAATGGCAATTTAATCCTTACTCCACTGCTCCCTTAAAAGGAGTTCGTAACAAGGTGTTTTGCACATAAAAAGCCAATCACATTCGTTATGTGTTGAGAAATTTTCGATATTCCTCTCAGGTACCGTTTGTTGTCTACACTGCCAGCAAGCGTCTGCGGATGTTGCTGGCAGGATGCCTGGCCCTTCTCTACCTCACCAGCCTGGCCCTCTCTCTGTCTGGGGCTGCCTTCCCTTACTCCGGAGGAGAGCAGCCTGCCCCAAAAAGACTCTTTCTGCAGGTCTGCGTACTCGCCTAACAGCTCACAGCGAGCTGTACATGTTGAGAAGGAATTCTCGAGGAGCGAAAACCTTTTTGAATTGCGCAGTTTGTGAGCTGTCCTCAGAAATTGAATGCTGAAAACTACTGCTGCGAAATATGATCATTTGGTATAGAGAAGTCATAGTGTCACTTCATTGCTGAAATTGTTGCTGTTTTGTTTTGCTCTTTAATAAATATTTAGCGATAAAGAAGTTAACGTGATGCTTTTGAAATTATCCATGTCTTTGCCCCATATTCTCCCAGCATTTCCAGAGGCAGTTTCTGGACAGAGATGGCTCAGTGAGACAAGAGGACTCGAATGTTCTCCTCATTACTGCAGACTACCTGGACATTGGTCCAGTGATGTCGGCCGTCCCTCAACTGGGCGAGGCCCTGAAGCCATGGCCGTGCTCGGGCGTCTTCTGCGGCGTGCCTTCCTACCTCCCTCTGATGAAATACCTAGAGTTAGCCCCCCCCAGATTTGCCCATGTAACAGTTCAAGTGTAGGTAGAAAATTCTCCACTGCAGTCAGTTCTGGTATCTGCCTGCACCGCCCATTGACCAACCTCCGGAAGTCTCTCTGGAGCTGATATCGCTGACCAAAACCACGTCAGAACGGAAGAACTTCACTTTTCATATGAAACGTGAGCCACTCTTGAGAACTACGTACGCTGATCATAACTTGATTGTTTCTCTCTTCAAAAGTTCCCCGGCGAGCATCGATATTCATTGGTCCACGCAGCGGGCAGACCCTCACTAGCTGGTCCCTGCTGGATGAAGTGACCCCTCCACTTCCATGCGATCACAAGCAGCCATTGGGGGACCAGTGTTTCTTTATTTTCTACTCTCGGGGGGCAGGGGTGGGCAGCGAGACCTTCTGGCTAGAACTAGAGGTAGAACTAATTATTGTACTAATTTTTGGTCCCTTCCCATTGTACCAAACACCCCATGTTGTTTTACAATTGCCATATTAAACATAATTATATACCTCCGCTTTTTTTACATAAGATAACCATGCACCAACAATGCTGTGTCTAACAACAAAAGGTCTTGTATTCTAGAGCATGTATGTAGTAACATGTGCTGGTGTCTGCGTGGAATGTTGTCCAGCACATGTTGTGGTCTGGGGGATCAAGTGTATCAACCTCTCCTCTAGTAAGCACTGCTATATGTACAGCTGAGGGATCAGAACAATGTGTGGTTTTGGCTGTTTTTGCTGGAGTTACGTGCGGAAAATGCGGCACTTTTTATTGAAAATAAAGCACATTGCGATTTGTTTATTCCAGGGTCCTTCCCATTCTGATGAGGTGGTGGAGATTGTAGTTGCAGCTCAGCAGTTAGATCCTCCTCAGTCTGTCACACCTACCCTCACCTCTCTCCTGGACGCCCTTCCTAGCTGGGTCACTCCTATAGGCTGGACCTCCACCTACACCAGTTGGACCTTTTGATCTAATAGGTGTAAACTAGCTAGGTGTGTCTTATCAGAGTTTGCAACCCACGCACGCATGCACGGTGATTCCGGAAGAAAGGCGGTAGCGTGACCTTCGTCTGGCTGTGCAGTCATTGTTGTGTCGCTGTACGTGTCGCGGCATCGCGTGGAAATGGAGAGTGCAGATTTTCTTCTCAGCCTTCTACTGCTACTGAGTCTATCAGGTGAGCCTTTTTGCACAGGTCGTATAGCATCTAGACGGAGTCGAATCTTGCATTTTTTTCAGCGCCGGTTCCAGCGTCTACCCTGGCAGGATCGTGCGTCGAGGCCGGCTTCGCGGAGTGCTGCGACCTTGAGGTGCACGGGTTGTGCTTCGCTCCGCCGACCTTCTGCCTCTGCGACCCGTCGTGTCGAGAGCACGGCGACTGTTGCGAAGACATCGATGACATCTGTACGCCAGGTAATGACTGTCACCGCCGCTGAACATGAAAAGGTTTTGTGTGCAGTACTGAGCTCACACTACGCGAGTTGCGCAGCTAGGCTATGCTGCATTGAACATGCTTACAGAAAACGTTGCCTAGAGGGTATGAACGGTTATTGCCCGTTATTCAATTAGCTAAGAAAACTGATATAATGGCCAGTGGCTTAGCTGGTATACGTGCACTCCCTCTATGTGGAATGTTCAGTGTCACAACTGGCAGTTCAGGAATCCTCAACTGGTTAGCCTGGGGCTTTATGTGGAGAATTGAACTGCAATAGCCTGCATTGTTTCATGCCACCTCCTTTGTAACTAATCCAGATATGTTCAGAGATGGCTTCTTGTCATCCACTGGCCAATGCACTAACTAACAAAGGAGGATCCCTAAACTAAATTATCATTTCTACCTCTCTGCAGAGCACCCAGAACCGGTGCCACCTATTTTGCTGCTAGCGTTGGATGCCACCTACCACACAGCCACTCTGCTCTGGGGCCTTCCTCCAGAGGCCAAAGACTGCAACAAACCAGACCTACTCAGTCATATACTGGGACTATGAAGATCCAAACACTACCTACTCTGTCAACGTCAGCCAGGACACAGAGATAGGACAGACTACTATGAGACACACTCTGACAGGTCTCAGTCCTGGCCTCCTCTACCAGTGGGCCGTTGAAACCAGCACTGGGACAATATCCTTGCCGTCTGTAGTGTCAAACTTCTCCACAATGGGTGTAGGTGAGACTGACTCACATTTCTATGCCTCGTTTTGTTATGGGTTTACTGGCGGGTTCAATTTTGTTTTTGCAGCTAAGCTGGAGAGGCTCAGTGTTCGAGTATATAACAGATCGTCTGTTTTGGTGGCGTGGGCGTGTCCTCAGCTCCCGTTTGGAGTCAGAGTACACAGTTACACGGTCCACTATGCCGGGACTGCACCGTCTGGTAGTGGCAGGGAGTACACTGGTCGTCTGACTGTGTGGGAGGGCCCTGCTGTTGTGGCTGGTCTCAGATCAGATTCTTTCTACCAATTCTGGGTCCACGCCACAGTGGTGGAGGGCTCCATTCAGTCGGATGGTATCGTATCCTCTGAGAACGCCACCGTTTTTGTGCCAGGTATATATAAATACCAACCATGCAATTCTCCCACGGTTGAATCTATTGATGCTCTCTCCCCACAGACTCGACCACAGTGCAATTAAGAGGTGGTCTTTTCAAGCCTTGCTGCAACTGGACTGTAAGTGTATGCAGTCTGTTTACTCTGCCTTGGTGTCAGCTAACCTGATTAATAAAAGTGCATGCACCATAATTATGGCTACTGGATGTGCAGTAATTGCCAGAAACAATTGTTTGATAGGGCAAAGAGCTTTAAACTCTATTAATACCACATCAGGAGTTAAATTTTGTTTTGTAGGAGACAACCGAAGTGGAGGTACTGGATGCATTTCGCCGTGCCATATATGAAGCAATTTATGGTGATATGAAAGATGATGATAGGGGTAGGGGGCTAATTGAGAGAGACTTTGTTCTCTGTGAGGACAGCAGTTCTGGTGGGAGTCAAGCAGTCTACAGAGGCTCTATCTTCTCATCCCCTGGCCTTACCACCGAGACAATCAGTCGTCTTCTAGAGCAGCAAGTCATCACTGGAGAGCTGTCAGGGGTTGTAGTGGACAAAGCCTGCCCTGTTAGCCTCTTTAGGACCAGTGAACCTTTATGTAGATCAGCACCAACACAGCATCAGGATTTGGACAAAGACTGCCAGAAACGGGACCAAGGGACAACGATAGTGGCAGGTTCACTCGCTACCACCACCAACTGCACCTGCCGGCAGCTCGCTGACAGAGAGACTACAGTGACTGTAGCGCTGTTAGCAACAGCACTCGTTGCTGAACTCTTTCTGGTGGTCTTTGTGATTCTTTTGGTCACTGCGTCAGTCATGGTGGTCAGAAGAAGAAGAAGGTGGGTTTCTCTACATGCATGTTCTAGTGAGGGAAGTCATTAGGTGTACTGTACATTGAGTGTTACAGCTGCCGGTGTGGCACTATGGTGTGGCCATACAATGGTAAATGAGGTAGCCATGATAAGATAGCTGTACCAACTTTACCAGCTCATGGAATGCATTTCACATGCTTTGTGCATTAGGCATTAGGAGAGCTTGGCCCTCTTTTGGAAGGCCCCCCACACTGCCTCATACATGTATATACGTACATACATATTGGGGAACCTGCAGAATATCAATAATCCTTGCCTTGTACCGATCGTTGCTCATGTGCGACCCTGTCTTTTACTTGCTAATCAAGCATTGCAACAGTTTCTAATGGAACACTCTGTTTCCTAATGATTGCTTCTTGCATCCATCTGTTGGATGGATTGTATCTGTATTGAAAACTGCTATCTCTCTTCTCTGCCTTCTCCTAAAGATATCTAGAGGAAGAAAAGTCTCCACACCACAGCCAAGCACAACCCAATGAATATTCTTGAACCTCCCCCAACCCAAGGCCAGTGATCATCATTTCACACATCCTCTGTCATATTATTTTGATCTTTGCATTATACTACATACTAATTTGATACCAGGAGCAGTCTATTTTTGTTTCACAATCGATTGCCATTTTCGTGTGTGCGTGAGTGCATGTGTGGGTGTGCACAATTGTTCAAACTTCCGCCTAGATGATGTCGTCTATTCCGTGTTGGGGAGACCCCTCTGATATGGAGTCGTCAGTGGTCAGCTCGGCCTCAGAGTCACACGTATGATCCTCACTCCATCCCTCCCTCAACCCGCCAGCACTCTCATTCTCTATCACAAGAGCCGGTGCCACTGCTGCTGAACGTTTCACCTTCAACCGATACTTCTTAGCTTCCGTTTTTCTCGGAGAGGCCACAGCATTTTCAGCCCCGCTGCGATTTTCGCCACCGTCTGGTGGATTTTTCCTGGTTTTTGCTTGTGCTCCACGTGCGATTTTCGCAAGTCCGCCCACCCAGTTTCGATAGGAGGCGTTATTGTAAGCCAGGAGATCGAGGATCCCGAAATCTGTCTTTAGCCAGAAGACGTGCTGGTGGAGTTCGCTGGGGGAGAAGGCCGGGTTTCGACGGAGGGCCTTGCTGGGTCCTCTGTGGACCTCGTGGATTGTGGCTTCTTGGGCTCGGCGTCTGTCCGTCTTTCGAGACCAGTGGAGCTTTGAGCTCCCAGCATCCACCCAGAAAAAGAAATGTTGAACTGGATCTGTTTTTTTGTAGAACCAGAGATGGGAAAGAAGAGAGAGAGAGACAGAAAAGGGGAGAGTAAACGAGGGAAAGAGGGAGCAAGGAATGTTAAGTATGTGTGTGATGCTGCCAGTCACTGTTTTAGCATTATCCCTAATACGTCCAAAAACGCTACACCCCAAGGCCCAAAAGCCCAAAGCCAAAACAACTTAGCAACCAATTTCATCACATTAGGTCACTTAGGACCACAACAAACAGCGAGGAGAGAGAAAATTCTGGATCAATTGGTGACGCTGCATGCCGTGGCAGCTGCTAATGGTCAGTGTTTGAGAATATCGTTACATGTGTTGGAGTTTTGGCTGAACTCCCAGGTGGAGGTGTGTTGATTAGTACCATTTTTGTCTGGCACAAATCTTCCCAGGAATGCTCCGTCACTGAGTGCCGATGTGTCCACCCCACTCCCTCTGTCTCTCTCACTGCTACTAGGGACCGCGTGTAAACTCTCGGTGATTACGTCTTGATTGACAGGGGCATCCCCGGAAGTCGGTAGGTTTGAGAAACTCTTGGCTCGACTGAGTAGCGATGACACACTATTCGACCTGCGCATGACACATTCATTCAGAGATGCACTTGTGCAGTGAAACGTGTCTACAGTGACCATCATACTCAGACTGCCTCTATAAAGACCACCTCTCTGTCGTCCAATAGTGTGTGTGTGATTTTGACCTCCGTAAAGAGACGACCTCTCTTTTATTGCCCAGAGGTGGTCAATATAAACAGGTTTCACTGTATTCGCATTCCAGTAATCTCATAATCACATGCTTGAAATACCTGGAGGTCCGAGCAAAGTCGGCGACTGCCGTTCCGTGGCAGGTGAGGAGAGCCACGACATAGTCAAACCTCTTGAGTCTGGCGTATTCGATGGCCGTCTTCCCAGTGAGGTCTCTGTGAGCCGCGTCGCTGCCTCTGTCCAGGAGGAGTGCACACACGTCCACACGACTGCAGGCCGCTGCATAGTGGAGTGGGGTCCGCCCCTTTTTTTACACACAAGAGAGGGAGAGAGAGAGAGAGAGAGTGGAGAAAGTCGAGGGAAGAGGGAAGCAGAAGTTGTACACGTTTCATGCTTGGTAAACAATGTATTAGAACCACAGTCAGATTTTGTACAACAAACAACACAACAAACAACACAACACACTTGAATCTACTGGTAGTATATATATTATACATATTTGTATGAGATCGATGAAGGAAGAGTGTTGCTCACCATTCTGTCGAGGTCGTGGACAGCGTCAGCTCTGAGTCTGATGATCAGCTCACAGGCGGTGAGAGAGCCAGCCTCAGCCGAGAGGTGGAGCACCGTTCTTCCTCTGTGGTCCTTGAAGTAGGTGTGGTCAGCCTTCAGCAGCATCTCCAGACACTTGACTCCATCCTGGTGTACTGCCCTGTGTGCAGTAGCATTGTAATGAGGAAAAGTGATGTGTAATTGGAAACTCAGGTACACAAATATCAGCCTAGTTTCACACATTCATGGACTATATACTGATTTCTGTTAAACATTTTTTAAAGGAAGTTGAGTATATTGAGGATCCTCGGCAGTGTTGATGAGTGTTGTCTTGGCACCACCGCAATAGTGGCACCTCTCACTCCACACACACACAGCACTCTGTCAGTCCTCACAGAAGCCACTTTTTCACTCTTGACACACAGCACTTTTACTAATTCTCACAACACGCCCATGCTCCTAACTATCACTCTCTTATGCATGCATCCAGAGCTCCTTTTTCTCTGAGGAACGAGGCCAACTCTACCCACCAGTGCATGGCGGTCATTCCGTCTCTGTCTTTCTCTTCACAGTCAGCTCTCTGGCCCAGCAGGAACTCAGTGACCAAGGGTTATTGTTGTAGGTGGCCCACATTAGCGGAGTCATCCCTGCATCATCCACTGCATTGATATCCAGCTTGGAGTGCTGTAGAAAAACAGAGACACCTGAGCTGCCTCAGGGCATGTATTAATTGCCTTTGCCTGTACTATAACACTTGGGGTAATAATAGCCAAAGAACTCTCAAACAGCATGAAGTTTCACGCTAAAAACATACTTGGCAGAGCTGAGAGAATTCTTTGAAAACAAAAGATTAGCCGTAGTTCATAGTATTTTGTAGGACACTTTGTATACGCAGCATACAGTTTACCACACCCTCTCCATTTTGCTGCACAGTGTTCTACCATGCTGGGAACCTGTCTATTCATGTTTCAGTCCAAGTACTAAGGGAATGGGCTGCTACAGTAGGATGTGGGTCTAGACACATTGAGAGGAGAGCCCACATGCTCTCTTGGCCAGACAGGTGTGGGATGGCAATAAAGGAGGTGCCATCCAAGAGCTTCTAAACACTTCCCTATTCTCCACCAATAGCCCACCACTTGATTTGCAGCCTAATCGAATTTGGCTCCAAAATTAGGTTAAGCCACTCAATTGGGCAATGTGATTTTATCCACTCCTTTTACACTATCACTCTTTTACACCAGCTGCACTTGCAATTTAACTTTGTCGCCACCATTGAATGTAACCCACCTTGAGCAGTAGAGCGGCACACTTGCTGCTCTGTTGTGTCAGTGTGGCCCAGTGGAGTGGCAGTCTTCCCTCGAAATCCCTCACGTCCGAATCGGCATGGTTGAGGAGTGCAAACTCGACGAGGGACACACCCCCCATGGCAGATGCTAGGTGTATGGCAGTGGAGCCGTCAGAGGCCTGCTTGTCCAGAGCAGCTCCTGCCTGGACCAGGAGACTGGCACACGACAGATGGACTCCTCTGGGGTGGATACTGAGAGACATAGAGAGAAGAGGGGAGAGTTTTGCAAAATTTCTTTTCCTGTTGAAAACAGTTAAATATAGAGTCCACACTTGGCCAGTGTTTAAACCTGGACAAACTCTAGGGCATTATATTACCAATAAAAGATTTTACTCACAGTAAGTAGATATTTATTTTGTAAGAGAACTGCGTACCAGTACATGAGAGGAGTTCGACCATCGTGGTCTCTTGCGTTGACATTCTCTCCCTCTGATATCAGCTGCTGGATCTGCCGACCATTGCCACACCTGTTGTTTTGTAGTATGGGGAGGGCCTTTAGCAAAACAAAACATTCCAAGATTGCTTACAATTGTGCCATGTCATATGGATGATATTCACACAAATTAGCGAAGAGGCTTACTTGGCAGCAAGATGGAGTGGGCCTGGCCCGGCCTGCATCTGGTACAGTGAGGTGGTGGAGCCTCGATATCCGCTGGCATCCAGTGACCCCACCCCCTTGGATCCCAGGAGAGGTAATTCAGGGACTCCCCTTATACCTCCTCCCTCTCCCTCCGGACTGCTCATTGTGTGTCGCAGAGCGTGACGCCGTCCACCCTGTTCCATTCTCGATGACATCATGCTCTTGAAGATAGGTGCCCTCGACACCCCATCAAAGTGCTCAATGACAGGGACAGGGGAAGAAGGGGAGGGGTTTGTAGCAGGAGCACTGGACAGCCTTTTACGCCATAAGAATGAGTCTGGTAGAAAGAGAAAATTCATTGTATGATGGATATATTGAGAATATATATACGGGAGTGATGTCTGGTTGTTTGACACCATACTGAGGGCAGGGAGGACTGAGGGCTAGTCCGGAGTGCCTGTAGTGGTGGATGCCGTAGGACGGCAGTTCCCGTGTCCTCTTTCTCGACAGCTTCAGCTCTGGGAGTGAGAGGTATGGTGGAAAATATAGCTGGACTGGACTCTATAGCTAGAGCAGGTTGCCTTAGATGGTTCCAAATGAGAGAAAATGAAAAAAAGTGGGTGTACCAGTGGAGATGGTCGGAGAAGAGGGAGTGTGCGATTTCAATCGCGGCAGTCGAGTCAGTACACTCTTGGATCCTGTGTAGAGAGAGAGAATGAGAGACCCCAGCAATAGCTAGTGGTTTGCAAAACTGAATAAAGTATATGTGAGACTCACTGTTCTCCTTGAGAAGTGGGAGGTTCAGTTTCCTCAGAATCTGTTGCCTGTTGTCGGAGCCTCCTTCCCTCTCTCTTTTGGCTTCCTCCAGAGCAGCAGCCCCAGTTGGAGTGGACGTCAACCGTGGCTGGAAACTGAGGTCTCCATTAGTTGACTGGAGAATCATTCTCTCTCCTCCCATCTTCCTCTCAGTGACTCTAACACTCTCTGCAGTGTCTTCATATGAATTTTTTGGCAGGAAACTTTTATCAGAATTTGAGGTAGTTACTAAGCTCTGAGTTTCTCTCTCGACTTTCTCAGTCTGAAGGAGTTGATCCCGTGGCGACTGTGGTTCGAAAACTTCATTGTCTGAAAAAACAGAGTCAGTGTCTGTCATTTGGTGAGCTTGCTGGCCCGCAGCTCCACTGGCTGACACGCTATCCTCTCTCTGGTAAGGCAGCACATCCTCCACTGCCCCTGCCTCTGAAGTGGTCAGTGTTTTAGTGGCAGTCACTCTCTCTCCGGGAGTGATCCTCACGTCGCTAGTAGAATCAAGCTGGGCTGGGTCCCTCTCTCTGAGCTCCACCATTCTCACTCCTCTCCCTGCCTGCTCCAGTTTTGACACCTGGTGCACCTCGTACGAAGACTGCCTGTCTCTGGGTGCAGGCCCCACAGCCAGGACAGTGGCAGTACTCTCACTCTGCAGGGCCGAGATGTCCACCATTTCCGACCCACTTCTCTCCTGCTCCACTGCATCTGTTGGATCAATTTCAACTGGCGAGACTTCTTCTGTTGGTGCAAGTGGATGTGAATCAGATTTTCCAGTGTTTTCACTCTCTGAAACATATGTGCCAGTGGTGGGTTTTGCAGCCTGGAGAGGTGCAGTTTGACTAGTGTGTTCTGTTCCTGGTTCTCTAGTTTGTCCCTCTGACTCCAGAGACTCCATGTAGTTATCGAGTGAAGAGAGACTGCCCCAGGCAGCGAGGGGGTTGCTGATTGTCAGGGAGGGAGAGAAGAGGGGCTCAGGAGCAGTTGCTGGGACTGACGATCGAGAGGTGAACAGATGTACAGGAGTTGGCGCAGTGTCAGAACAAGGGCTGGAGGTGGCTGGAAACACAGCAGAAGATGCCCATCTCGTCTTTTGTCTCTTTGAGCTGGGTGGTTCCCGTGGTGTGTCCTCCCCTCCTTCTTCTCTATGGTCTCCCTTGATGCTGGGTTCTGCAGCGCCTGTGGTCCAGCGGGGACCAGCTGAGATATCTTTCTCTTCTTCTGTTAGAACGTCCAGGCCTGGAGCGGGGGCCACTCTCGAGTTAGTCTTTCGTCTCGACGACTGACCCCTCAAAGTGGGAGGGGCTGAAGCTTCCACGGTCACGGTTCCCGAGTTTCTCTGCTCGTGTTCTTTCGTCGGCTCATTTTCCTCGTCGTTTTCCACGTCTGCTACCGTCCACCGCTCTCTGCTCGTCTCTCCTGCTTTAGAGCCAACTCCTCCGAGCTCATCAGTGTCCGAAGAGAGCCGCCTTTGGAGCCATTCTCTGTGTGCAGAAAGCGCTCGTCTCGCGTGATCCAGAGTATCGGCTACGCTGATGTTGGGAGCTCGTTCGGAGACTGTAGCCTCTGTGATTGCAGCCATTCCCGACACCAGTTGCTGCATGATAGATCCGCCCCTAGCCCTCCACTTTCTGCTAGCTCTGCACGGCCGCGCGCGCGCACGCGCGCGTATTAGAAGTAAATTTAAATTTTTCACACGCAGCGATTTCGTTTAATAAGAACACACTATCTGTTGTCCTCATTCTTCCCTCCACCGCTCCACCAAGAGTATACTGAGGCTGAAGCAGCAGCCCAGGCTCCACCCACAGCTCCAGTCACTCTACCTGTGGCCTCAGAAACAATTCTCTGTGTCTGTTGTACAACAACCTCACCAGAGGGAACGCTCAAACCATAGTCACTCATTCGAGCCACCAGCCTCCTACGAACGTCACCCAGGGAGATATCTCCCTCGCAGGGATGACGGGGGTCTACCCTCATTATCCCGCCTCTCTCCCGTTTCTGCCAGGCTTCAAAGACTTCTCCATTCTGCCACACTGCGGCAAAATGGCGCCCAAATTCCTCCATTGAAATAGAGTCACCGTTTTCACCAGTGGCCAACAGAGAGAGGAGATAAATCTTGAACTGTGCTTTTACCCATTCGCTGCTCCCGGGGAAAGTCGTGGGTTCGTCTGGTCCAGAGAGTTCACCGACAGTTTCAGCTACCAGGCTGCAAAATCTGAGGTCTGCAGAAGTGAGGTGTAATTGAGATCTCGTGTGGGGATCTTGGAAATGCACGGAGCCTTGGTCGACGTCGACAAACACGTCACACAGACGTTTCTGCTGCTTTTCAAACAGGGGGTTGACCACACCAGCCAGTCTGAGAGAGGTCGAAGGGTCAGTGAGTGACTCCAGCTGTTGAAGACAAACATACGGTGGAAACGAGGACGGAGTTTCAAACACAGTTAGAGGGAGCCCGTGCCTGTCTGGAAGTAGTTCTGGGTCACAGTGTAGCTCAAGAGAGAGTGGGAAAAGGGCCGCGATGGACAAAACGAAACTGCCGACTTTTTCCGCAGGGGAACCAAAAACGACCACTCTCTTTTGGAGTAGCAGAGCTTTGACGACCTGGAGGAGGCGATGTTGCAAGAGAAGTACTAGTTTTCTCTGTGAGAGACCGAGGTGGAGTGCACGGAGGGAAGACCCCATCGATACCTGCGCGTTCATACTGTCGTAGGCCTCGTGGAGAATCGAAACATCAGAAAAGTCCTTCACGTTGAAGTAGGCGTGGGTGATGAGTTCCAGCTTTGACTGGAGGAAGTTGTAGGCCGGGTAGCGAGAGAGGATGCATACACTCTTCTGCACGGTTGACCTCGTGACCTCTTGCTCCACCGCGTGGAGTTGCTGGGTGGGGATCTGGCGGCAGCAGGCCACTCCGTGCACACAGCCAGTGGGAGATGAGGCACTAGGGAGCGTGAAGTACACAGAGTCCTTCTCATAGTTGTGTGAGCCGTCTGGAAGGGCCAGGTGGGGTAGGTGGCGCCACTCCGCTGGAAGACTGGAGGTTAGACTCTGGATCACGTGATCAGGTTCCTGTTCTTGCTGCCGTAACGGTGGATAGACGAATTCGACGGTGGAGCCTTTCTGGTGATGAAAGCCTACAACTAGGATGTGTAATATCCCGGCTTCAGAGTCCTTCTCCTGGCTCCCGGATGCCATTTTCCTCCGCGTCGCGCGAGCTAAACCACGCCTTCTCGAGACGCACGCATGCGCACAAGTCCAAAAATGTCGGCAACTACGTCGTCGCAGCGCTCCTCTCTTTCTGGGCGTCGACGTGGGCACGGGGAGCGCAAGAGCAGCTCTGTTCACGGAGGAAGGTGCGAGACTGACTATCGCCCGCAGGAATATCGAAAAATGGTCCAACCCCGAATTTCCGGGGGGCTCCTGGGATCAATCAACGGAAGACATGTGTGCGGCCGTGCAGGTCATAAACAACAACCAATGTGATCTCACTTCAGTAAATTCGAGACTAATTAGTGACCTCATTTCCACCCACGCGAAACGTGCCCTATCATTTCCCCCTTTGGAAATCCCCAAATCGGAACAAACACAACACCGGGCTTTGCGCAAGACCTAAACCCTGTTGTCAGACTTTAGCTAGACACAATCTGTAATGTACGGGAGGAGAGAGAAAACGTCATTATGTCTTATGATATCATGGGTCCCTGGGCTGGGCCTTTAGATAGAAATCATATGCAGCCTCTCTACATATCTATCTTGCGGCCAAGACATCGCAGGCTATGACTCATGGTACTGTGTGTACACTCACAACGGCCTTGCACCGAGTTCGGAAATCGAGACGAACACACCTCACCTGTTTACCCATCTCCTTGATTCTGTCTACTTTTGTTCGGGGAACGCCTTTCGTCTCCGGCTGTGGACACACACTGTCTTTTGAAGGCATTGGCGTTGGCTTGTTTTTGAAGAACCGCCCGACGTACTTCGCCCATAGAGAATACCTGGTTCTTTTGAAAGCAGTCACTTTCCCTGAGAACCACTGGTATCCCTTACCATTCGCTGAAGCTTTTGAAGACAATTCCCTAAAGTATTACCATTGCCTAAAGGTTTTGAGATTGGTGATTTTTTTGCTAAGTATGTATGTATAATTGACCTCGGTACAATTTCTTATTGAATGTCAGTGTAAGAGTGTCATGGAGCTCTTGATTTGGCTGTTGTGTGTGTCCGTGTGTGTAGGAGGTGTGTGGAGGAGGTTATGGAAGAAGAGTGGCTGGTGTGGGATTCACGGCGACATGCTCTCTGGTAGCCGTTGATCCTCAGGGACTGCCTGTGACTGTCAGCCCCACGAGAGGTGGGGATTCTTCACCACAAATACTTCACTACTTGTTATTGTGATCGTTTTAGTGGGTGTGTTAAATCACAAAGAGGGCCTTTTTTGAGAAATAGATAGGGGAGTTATCAGACGTGAATCAAATGAAGAGAATTTATTGACTCGAGAGTGGCATCTATTATTACACTGTGTGTGTTTGGTAGATCCTCAAAGGAATGTGGTTCTCTGGCAAGACCATCGTGCAGCGACCGAGACAGAGGAAATAAATTCCCTCCATCACCACCCCGTCCTCCGCTGTGTGGGCGGGGCCCTCTCGCCTGAGATGCAACCCCCAAAGCTCCTCTGGCTCAAACGACATTCTCCATGACGACTGCTGGGAGAAGGCGGGGCATTTCTTTGACCTGGCGGACTACCTGTCGTTCAGAGCAACTGGAGTCCCCACAAGGTTGGTTGGTGTACATTATTACGGTACGGGCAAAGACTTTTGGCAGCCAACAGTTAACAGATGAGTAGGAAATAATGGAAACATCTTTACTGACAATTGTGTTAGTCGCATACATGCAGTAATATACCAGCAGAAAGTACTACCGTAATATGATACAGTCTTGGAAGTGGGAAGTTCGTAATATTTCCTCCTCGTGAGGACGTCTGTGCATACATTGGTAGAGAGTAGCACTTTCTTTCCGTTTCACTACCGCTGTGTGTGTGTGTGTGTGTGTGTGTGTGTTGTGTGTGGTGTGTGTGTGTCTCCACTGGTCTGTAGCTTATGTTCCGCAGCAATGTGTGATCATTGTATCTGGAGTGTAGCTGTGTGTAAGCGAGGTCTCTCTCCTCCCCTTTTCCTCCCAATCAGCAGGCACGCCGTAGTAATGTGTATGGAGGAGAGCCATGCACACTAGGGGGCTGTCGTCTTTCCAAGAAATGAGAAATGATAATGATGAGGGAAACACTAGAACGGATGTCACAACAAGAGTGATCGCGAGGGAGTGATGATCACCTCATTGCATAACAAGACATCACAACACACGCATTTTGTACTCACTGAGCCAGAATCGACCTTTCTTACACTTTCCCTCATATCCCTCTCCATCTTTCTCCGCCCCCTCTCTCTCTCTCTCTCTCTCTCTCCAGGAGCCTATGCTGTGTAGCATGCAAGTGGACCTACATTGGACACCCTCCAACCTCATCAGAAGGTAATTGAGTAATTGAGTAAGGGGTGAGGTCATTAGTAGCAGACCGCGATGATGTCATTCATGTATCCAGAGGCTGCAGGTCTAAAACATGGCTGGAATGACTCCTTCTGGGAAGGGGCGGGGCTTGGTGACTTGGTTACCGGAGAATCGGGGTCGATATCGTGGCACCGGGAACATCAGTTGGGAAAGGGTTAACTGAGAAATCGGCCGAGGAGATGGGACTTCGACCCGGCATTGTGGTGGCAACATCTCTAATAGATGCTCACTGTGGTGGAGTGGGTGGGTTAATTAACGACATGCTTCAGTGTGCATGCCCTTTTTTCTGAAATATTCCCCCAATTTCTATTTCACTACCATAGTATATAGATGTATACTGAAAGTCTATTATTTTTAATACTGCCTTCAGGTATCTACCGTACTTTTGCATGTATTAAGAATGCACCTTGCAATCTTCTATTCTCCAAAAATCCCTCATATGGGGGCCAAACCAAAATGCCGTGGAGTCTTGGCTATCTTCGGGGAATGGTCAGCTGGATTCCCTCTATGTTAGGTCTACTTGGAGGGAAATGGGATAACGATGAGTCAACAGGTCATGTGACATCTCGGCTTGCTCTGATTGGTGGAACCTCCACTTGCCACATGGTGGTACGTGAGCTCAACAGGTCATGTGACATCTCGGCTTGCTCTGATTGGTGGATTGGAAACTCACTTGCGCACGCAAATGGTTGTTACGTGGAGCGCTCAACATGGTACATGTGATATCTCGTGGCGTGCTCTGATGTTGGTGGTGAAAACCTGCCACTTGTGTCCTTTCATGGTGGTACGTGGCTCTACAGTCGGGGCATGGGTATCTAGGCTTGGCTGTGCTAGATGGTGGAATCCGCACTTGCGCATCATTAGGTGGTACGGTGAGCTCAACAGGTCATTGTGACATCTCGGCTGCTCATGATTGGGTTGGAAACCTCCACTTGCCACATGGTGGTACGTGAGCTCAACAGGTCATGTGACATCTCGGCTTGCTCTGATTGGTGGAAACCTCCACTTGCCACATGGTGGTACGTGAGCTCAACAGGTCGTGGCCATCTCGGTTGTGCTGATGGTGATGAAACCTCCACTGCCACATGGTGGTAGTGTGTGAGCTCAATCAGTGTCATGCATCTCGGCTGTGCTCTGATTGGTGTGAACGGGGATGGGCTCCACTCCACATGGGTGTAGGTACGTGTAGCTCACACGGTCATGTGACATCTCGGTGTGCTCTGATTGGTGGAAAATGGAAACACTCCACGTGTTGCACATGAGTGGTACGTGAGTCTCACTCTATGAGTTGGAAAACCTTTGTGAAAGGTTGGAAATTTTTCTCCTTTAAAATTTTGTAGGCGTTTACATTTTTATTGCAGGGCCCAGCCAGCAATCTGCTAAATTTCTCCGCAGACAGGTTTTCTCCCTCTAACGTTTGTTTAGTCTGGAGTCTACTTGACTCCGACTGGTCCCATGCATGTGTGGCATGCGGGGAATTGGGTAATTTGTGTTCATATGTTTTGTTCCGTTGAATGTCAAGCATGTCAAGTTTCCAGAGATGTTTTTGCTTTTTGTTGTTTAGTTCTCTCTCTCTTAGTGGCACAGCTGCCACATTCTGTACACGGTTGCCATTCACGGAATTTGTAGCGCACTGCAGGTTATACACCTGTGGAGTTCGTACTCGTTTGTTGTCCGGTGTGTGTTGATGTGTAACAGGTGTCTAATACTCCGGTGTATGTCCCTGGGGTATGGGGTCCGTACGTATATCTACGCATGTGTACCGGGTTACGGTGGTACTACCTCGAATGGAAGGGATTGGGCAGCGCTCCGTCTGGACAATCTGGTGGGTATTTGTATGTGACTATCACTTGTGGAGTGGTGTTTGAGTTTTTTGTCCGTACTAGCTACTGTGGTGGCAGATACGTTGAGGGAGAGGAAGGAAAGTCGAATTATTGCAGTTGACCAGTAAAATTTAGTGGAGAATCAGTCTTTGTATGCGGGCCGTAGAACAACGTTGTTAAAACCTGATAGCTGTATGTGGTTGCCTAATGTGTGGCAGGCTGTGGTATTAGGTTACAACTTGCAATCCCTATCTGTATAATTATACAGCATATTGAATGTTAAAGAACCGATATGTGCCTGTGGTAATGCTTGTTGAAGAAGTATGAGCGTAATAGTGTGGGTGGATGTGTGTGTGATGGGTAGCAGTAGACAGTTCCCGAGTGCAATTTGTTGTCAGATGATGTGGTACAGTGTACAATATTCGGGAGTCGTGTTGTGTTTCCTAGTCAACGGCCATGAGTGGCCAGCTTCAGCAAAATATGGTCATCAGATCACTGCTGAGGACTGCTCAGTCTTTTTCTCGGTAATGTGAGTGTGTGTGGTAGTAGTAGTACAATGGGCCTTGTATGTGGAATAGGCACTGGTGTATATATAGTAACATTACATAATTGCATTTCTGGTGCTGTTGAGTGTGGAACTGTTGCTGAGAGACACCGTTTTCCAAGGGATGGCATTTTGTAAATGGTACCCTCTAACTTTCCCTCTCTCCCTCCTCCTTCCTCCCTCCCCCCTCCCAACCCCTCGCCCTTGTCGTATCCACCGCGTAGACTGTACGTTACTTTTCAATGCAATCACCACCCTGTATTCATTTAAGTGCGGGAGGAAGAAGAGCCGCCGAGGTAAGTTCCAGTAGCAGTTACATACGTACATACGTACATTGTGTGTTTTTGTTGAGTGTTTTTGTTGTTTTTGCAAGTGTCAGTGGACACACACACACACACACACACACACATGCATGCATGCTGCACGCCCGGTGAATAGTCCTGCTTGCAATCCGTCACAACAGGAAGCTGGCCAAAACGTCCCCCGTCTTGCAGCGATCTGTCTGGAAACTAGGTTGAACCATTGTCAACACTAACAGGCGAAGAGGTGTCAGTCCAATATTTACCCTGGACCTCGAAACACGGCCCGCCCTCTTTTCCCTTTGATCACCGTGTGTTGTGGGGTCTCGCCGAGGGTCCGTGACCCCGAAATGAACTTCTGTTGTCATGTGTTGCCATTCAGAGCAGTGTAAGTACCGTCTGGAGCGAGCGTGGCTTGCTGGGGGGGTTGTCTGTCTGGCTGGCAACCCCCCAGGAGAGATGGATAATTGCTCCCTTCATGCTAAATCCTAGTCTAACTAATAATGTAGTATGTATATACTTTGAGTGGTTGAGTATTATATTATGGGTGCAGACTGAGTGTGTACTAAATATGGGACTCGGAGTATATACTGTGGCGTGAAGTGAAACATGTCTGGTAATGGAGATATTACATGCTGAGACAAGTAATGACCATTTTGTAATGATGTGAAAATGTTGGACTATGAATAACATGAAACATTTTTCGCTCTAGTTTACCCTAAATGGGCCCGTGCGAATGGTATGTTAATTTTGTGTAAAGCATTTTTGATTCCTAATAACCCAGTAAAGTGACTTGCTCACTGAATGTACCCACGCAACGACCCCACACATTCAGCCCAAACACTCGCCTGAAATCACTCGTCTTCTCAGTTTGCTCCCATTGTGGTGGGCGACGATACTGTCTCCGTGGAAACGGCAACCGTGGGCGCAATAAACACTGCGCGTCAGTGTCCAGGAAGTGATGTATGTACATCCACACAGCATGTGGTGTTTAGTCTCTTCGTCACCCAAAGAACCCAGCTGCATACACAAACACCACGTATGCACACTATTTCTGCATTACAAATGATACCAGCGGATGTAAACCTGCATACGTAGGGTGTATAAATGAATTGCTGTTATCGCATCGAGCTGTGTTTGTCTTGGCTGATTTAGGAGTGGGTCGGAAATGCCAAGACTGCCTAACGTGACTCGGGCACAATTTGCCTTGGTTGGCTGCCAATGAACATCCGGTGCAGTTTGCCACACTGTGGTGCATGTGGGCGGGCGGGCGTGCGGATCAGATACATGGACCCAGTCTATTGACCCAATATGGTCTGTGATAACCATGGGAAAACAGGCATTCAAGAATGTTAATTGGGGCTTCGGTGGGGAAAGGGGCCAAGGGGGGTTGGTACAGCGGAGGCTGCGGCTGCGGCTGTTTGCTAACTCCTCCACCGAATTGTAAACATTAGCCTCAGTGAAGACTGTTTGTCTGTGGAAGGGCACGCGCAGCGAGCTGGCCGGTGGGGGGTGAACAATACCGCCACCTGAAAGAACAAACGTTTATCGCCTACCCTTTTTTGGATCCAGGGCGAATTCAGAATGAATTGGTGATTATCTCAATTATAGCCACTTCCTCTGGAGAGAGAGTGTTTCATCCAGTGGAGACTTGAGTGTGCCAGAGCCGGGTGTCGCTCAGTGGTGGCAGGCACTCTCCCTAGGCATAGTCTCTCAGAGTTAAACTGCAGAGTGAGCAAGTGTTCACGAGCTAGATGCTGGTAATCTCGCGAAACCTTTTCCATGAGAAACTCTAGAGTGAGCAAGTACATTGCAGTCTAGCTACTCGGCGCGACCTTTCGCAGAAAGTCTCACCCACAATATCCGCAGAGAAAACTTGCACAGTTGGATCTGAAACTGCGCGATTCGCGAGAAATTCTCCTCTCTCGAAAGTTTGCAGCTGTATATGGTAGACATTCAGAGATGTAGAGGGAGGAGGAGGTGTTTGTCAACTGAACTCATCACTGCTTTTCACATGCATGCAAAGTAACCAGTGGGTGGTGTGCGCATTCCTCAAATTCCACTCTATTGTCTCCATCCCACTGATGTGTGGGCACTGGTCAAGAACCTTAACTTCCTCCTATCAATCAGTGCAGTAGCTTCCTCGGTGTTTGACCTCTGTCGGGTATGTTATAGACTCTCTGTGCGGTTCTACACGTACTTCTTTGTTGAACTTTGGTAACCAAAGGTAACTGATCTTCCTCTTTGGCCCACTCATGACTGCTGTGATATCACACAGTCTTCCTTGGACTTACTTTGAATGATAATGAGCCAGAAGTGCCTCAAGCACCCGCAAAGCAAACCCAGGGATTCCGGGAACCAATCAGCGCTGCACTGAACCAATTAGCCTTCGTCAACCTTTTCCACTGTTCCGGTCTCCTGCAGAGGCCCCTCCACTCAGGAAGGACACAGTTTCAAGAACAGAGTGCCCTATTGTACCATACTGTGCTGTAGTACATGTACGACCCATTCTGCAAGCCAAAGTGGTAAGGCAACAGTGGAGTGGGCTAAAACAGAGGTATAACATTATGGTTCCTCTCCTTAGCCAAAACCCATTGTCGAGATTTCAACACCTGCGGTAGGACCATAGCAGAGCCCCCCAATTAAATGTACATATATGGTTATAATGGTATGGTTTCGCATCAATGGTTGGCTTCCTTTCTTTGCCCATGAGATAGCAATGTCACCTCCCACCTTCTCCAGTGCCTGCCTCCCACTGGCACTTTGCTGCGGAAATCCAACCTCACTCTATGAAACGAGAGCCTCCATTGTGTGTGTGTGTGTGTGTGTGTGTGTGTGGCTATAAATATAAATGTGTGCGGTGAGTATGCATACCAGGTGTATTGAGGTATGCATTCTCTGTGTACATTTCAGTGACATAATATGGGTGATGTAATGTAGAGGCATTGATTACGCCTACTCATCTACTTCTGTGTCAAACCAGATGTATATATTATGGTGAAGATGATGATATCACTTTGTGGACCAAAACCACTGCACCGCCCAGGGTGCCTGGTGCACCAACATACACCTGCACCAGCTTGTAATGTTCAACACTTACAATGCCTGTTCATCAGTGACTTTAATTTCCACAGGGCATTCCGTTAACGAAGCTACATTCCACAAGCAAGTGTGTTCTAAATATGGTCAAAGTCTAATTACAGGGTACCAAAAATAGAAACACACCTGCTAAAATTAGCAGCCCGGTCTATACCTGCCAGTACTACATATTTCCACTGTGCCACACTGTGTGTATGGGGTGTTGGGAGCAATAGATGTCGGGCAAAATCCACACTAGGTAATGAGCAAGCTGTGCTGGTACAGACAACAGAGGACACACCGCACGTGGTGGTACCAGGCACGACCAGCCCTGAATCCTGGGTTCTGCATGTTCGCTGCTGACATGTTAGACGCACACAGATACCTTCCACACTTCCAGTGTTGGAGGAAACTGTGGTTTCCATGATGTCATGGAACTGACCACTACACAGCCCCACTCATCCTCTCTCTGCACAGTAGAACTAGCTGCTTTTGCATCCTCATAATGCAGCAAGTGTTTCTTTTAAGAGATTTTGTGTCAAGGGCAGACTTCCAGGCACAATATTTAGCAGGGCATGTTCGGAGGATGTGTTGTATTCTCCAGCGAGGGACTCTGTCTTTAATGGTCCTCTATACAGAGATTCTCAACCTAGTGCCATGAGTGCACGTGCTAAGACTGCTGTATTTTACCCTGCTAGTTTAGAGTATTGCCTCCTCAGTGGAGGTCTGTTGTTTTGACTCAATTTCCCATTCACTCCACAGTGTCTAGAACACACACAGGGACACTGCAACTAGTGGTAGTCAGGGACATGCTTGGACCTCCGCTGGACTCCAACGGATGTGTTTACTTTGCTCTGTATACATCCTCGGAACCCTGTAGGCCCAACACCCTATTCTGGCCATCAGCATAATCAGTTCCGATGACATTCTTCCGCAAGGCTGTCTACCTGTTTAGGGTAGCAGAACATTGTGCAAAACTCCCTCTGAAGACATAGCAACTAACTTACACTACATTCCGGGAGCATTGTGCATTCTGCGTGCAGCTACAGCAACCTATGCTCTGATCTGAAGCATTATTGCATGCCTATGGCAACTTATGCTCCTATGCTCCATTGTGACGCATTATTCTATGGAAACTTATGCTCCGTTCCGGGAGCATTGTGCATGCTGTGCGCGCACCTACAGCAACCGATGCTATGATTTGAAGCATTATTGCGTGTTGCTGCACACCTCTACTACTAGGGCACAGCTGTAGCCAAATCCCTAGAGGCCTGAACCCGCTGTAACTAATGTGTGTCAGTATGGTGAGCTGTTTTTCCACTGTTATCACAGTGTTTCTGGAGGGGGACTGTTTCGTTGGTTTGGGGACGCCTTTTTTGGGCAAGAGTTGTAGTGGGGGAGTGTGGAGGTCAAAGCTGGTTGTTCTAACCACTTCCTCTCTGGAGCAGCTGGATTGCCGAGCTCTGCCTGTTGTGGGTGTAGGCTGGCTCTTTTCACAGAGTGATTTAACAGCTCAACGGCCTGTGAATATCAACATTCACTGTCTTAAAATAGTTGTGTTTCTAAAAAAAGCTACATACTCCTGCGCGTTTTCGGGTGTCTGTGAATACATAGATTTGTGGAATTCATTGCATGCCAGATGAGTACCGTTTCCTCCAGTATAATATGTGAAAAGGGAGATTCCATGACAACAGTGTGTGGTCTTCTGCGAACAGGTGGAGTTGACACCATCCGTGCGCTCATCATCGGTACACGATACATTATTGTTGCTCATACCAATAATGTTTGTGTGGGTATCATGTTCGCCACCTGGTGCTATCAATGTCAACATACGTGTGTGAACTTCTCCATAGAGGGTAGTAGTTAGAACTCAATTCTCAGACCTTAGGACATATATATTATTCACGGTGGGATTCGAACTTCCTTGGGGTCGTTTTTGGCACGGTCACTGTGCTCGCAGAGATCCACTTGACGAATCACATTACCCATAATGGCAGCGTAATTGGAACTTATTAACGTTGATTAACGTCCTCTTTAACATCGCTTCCAGGTTACCTGAAGCTATCGTGTATTCCACTCCACAACTTGGCACTATTTGATAGGTTCAAATTTTCTTCCAGTGAAAATGTGATTTTGCTAAATTTGGTGAAATCATCTCGCGCTGTGAGGCTGGAATTGGCAGGGCTAACAGAGGCATTAGCAGGCCTCTGGCATTTCCTGGGTGTCCATAGTCAAGAGGGAGTCTTGTATTAGCATATATGGACTGTAGATGCAGTGTTAGCTGCACCCCTTCCCCTGTGGTTTCTGTATCCACAACACAGGCATCAGTCTCCAGGCTGCAGTTTTATCAGGCCCTCTTTTATCTCTCGGGATTCACTTTGATCTTCTTTCCTTACCCAAACCTTCCCAACCTTATCCTTTGATCCATTGTCATTAGCTCTGAGCATTTCCCACCGTCCCAGCTGTATTCAACTCTCCTTTTGCCCCTCTCTCTCTTCCTGCCCTGCCCAGAGGCGTTGGTCAGCTGTGAGCTTCAGTCAAAGTGAAGTCTGGAAACCCAAAATTGGACCACTACATCCTTCTGCTTCTCTCTCTTCCTGCCCTGCCGTGTGCTACTCCCTGGGGTGTTGGTCAGCTGGGAACTTCCGCCAGAGCTGAGTCCGGAAACCCACTTTTTGACCGCCTTTTTTGAAGGTGGACGGCAGCCCTGCTGTGCGTACGTCCTGCTGTCGAGTGTCACGTAGTGCCTCAAATCCGACCGCCCCACGGATGTTTGGGTGATGATTCTTCCGTTGTTTGCTGTTGGAGGTTTTCTGCTCCCAGGGAACCCCCTGGGGGTTGCTTTGTAACCAGCCCTTATTGACCTACATACACTGACCTACCAAGCACAGAGCTATATGATATGCCTTTGTAGTGAACATTTTGAGCTGGGGTGACCTGTACATAGCAGAATAATGAATGGCATGTCGTGGATTCAAGGGCAGCAAAATCTGAGGGTGTTGTTTATTTTTTTGCCTTCCCTTTGCCTTGCAGCATTGTAAATTTGACGAGCGCTGAAAACATTAAAAGAGGCCATTTCTTCACATCATAGTTCACGTAATATTTCGTGCTGGCGGATGTTTGGGTTTGAATTCTGAAGCCGTTACCTCACAAACGCTCTAAATTATTTTTCTCAAAAAGGAGCTCTTGACATTGTCCCCAGCGAAGGGAAATGAACTCAGGCAATAATTATGTAGGCAAGATACACGATGTGCTTCTGCTTATATCACTTTGACTTTTAACAGGCATGAAGTGTTTTGCAATGGCAGGTGTACTAGTGTTTTGGCAGCGGAATTGCTTCAAGTGCTCCTCTAATCCGAGGGCAACGAGGTTCAATGATTGTGTGTGTCTCCCGTTCCAAACAATCCATTAACACTTCTGAGGGTTTTGGTAATTGCTCCGGAAATGCCAGCGTTTTTCTCATTATTCCCTCTCTCTCTCTCTCTCCTCTCTCTCTCTCTGTCTCAGGCAGTGCAGTGTGTACGAAGAGATTGAGCAAACACTCCACACGCTGTCCCTCCATCTCTGCCACCCTTCCCTTCTCACCTCACATCTGCACGTCGTTCCCGATTTCCATGGCAACCGTTGTCCTTTCGCTGACCCCACCATACTAGGAATGGTACGTACGTGATTTCCCCACGTCTGTCTAATGTGTATGGTCACACTCTACCATCTCATGTGTACATTCACACGCATAGACAAACACACATCAGTTGGTAATCATCTCATTTCCGTGTGTCTTTAAAGACCAAAGTACAGTGGTAAACTAAACAAATCTGAGTTGAAGACCTTCACTGATATCCCAGCACCTGCGCACAGTACAGATAGTGACCTATATACGTTGCACAATGCACTTGGAGAGCAAACGAATGACATTTATATATGTGACTATATATACCACAGTATGACCATAGTAGGAGTGATACCTTGAATTATGTAACCATATTTCATTATTCTCTGTTGTACCTATGGTTATAATATTTCATCTCACAATTTGTACTGAAGCAATCAACACTTGATATGTTTGCCTAGTTTGGCAGACCCTGAGCATCCAACTTATTGCTATAGCTCAGAGAAAACATGCTGATTACTTCCCATCCTTTGAGGCGTACAACTTCTGTGTCCATCCACATCCTTGGCCTCTTCCTGGACGGGCTCCTCCAGCCACATCTTAGGCATTCATTTCCATAAATGATATTCTCTCTCTCTATCCGAGAGGCAGGGATGAACCACATGTGTCGCTTCTTTAGTGCGCCTGCAGTGCCACACCATATTTGGCAGAGATTTTTTGCAAATAGTAGAGAATGGTATCGGCATGAGTCTTTCGTTAGACGTCTTTGTCTGATATTATACATCAATATAGAGCTGAAGATGGTATACATGTAGAAGCAAAAATTGACATAGTGTATATTGAATGGTGCAAGTTAAGTATACAGCATATAAATCTTGCAATGTGCCCGACACGTGTTAGACACTTGAATAAGGACTATCTTTTGCCTCAAAAGCACAACGTTTTTAGAATGAGCGTATTCATCAGTGTTTGTGCTGGTCGCATGATCATGAATGTAGAATGTCAAGCGTCCTTGACAATTTATAGTGATGTAATGCTAATGAATGTAATTGAAATTCATTTTTTGGGAATTGAGACTGGTTGTAGTTGTTGTGACGGTATCATGGCAACAAATTTAATCATGACGTGTTGTTTGCTCTCCCAAGTTGGCTTTTCATAACTTTTAGATGTTTCCTACTTTTGAACACACACACACACACACACACCACACACACACACACACAGGTGTCAGGCCAGTCAATGATACTAACAGAAGGTGATCTCTTCAGTCTTCTATCTTGGCCGTGGTACAGGCACTGGCTGTAAGTCATTCAATCCCCCCCCCCCCCCACTTTAACATCATCATATAGTCTAGTTGGTAGATGAATCCTTGGCACCATCACAATCTTATAACTATCAAGGATTGGCTATACGACCCACTTTCTATTTACATCTCCTTAAACGTGTGGCAAACTATAGCTGAAGGGAGATAAATTTTGCAACCACTTATTTTTTTAGAGAGTTTCGTATATTCATTGTTCCACTTTAAAAGAGCCCCCCACCCACAAAATTCCACGGATAAACTTTTTGGAAAAAAAGGTTTCAAAAATTCATTTGAATTCACTAGGTTTTCTCCCACTAATGTTTCCTTGTTGTTCATAGTCATTTGGGGGGGAGGGGGGGGTTAATTGCATGGTATGTTAACAGGAGCCAAGGCTAAAGCAATTGAGAACATCAATGTGCCTTTATATTCACTCCTTCTCTTTTTGGATTTGTATTTCTCTTACTATTTCTTACGTAGGTGTGTTAGATCCTTGAATGGTTGTGCAGATCTCACGCTCTGTTGTTGGCTAAATATGTAGATATGTGGGCACTATGTGTCGAAGCCAGCCTTCACCCACTGGGAGTTGTACTATAATATGGCCGGGAGTAGTGTGTTTTGCGGATGCCAGTCTCACGTCACAGGATGTATCGTAGCTGCTCCAATAGATCTTCTGTTTGTACATGCAGCCAATCGGATTGCCTCAAGCCAACTCTGTGCAGGTCAAACAACCTCACACATCCACATACCATGCACAGCATCTCAGTATATAGGAACAACTTACAGTGGAACCTCTCTTTTTTAAGGACACCCCAGAAATAGTTTGTAGTTAACTATTATGCGTCCCATTGCTACATACATAGTATGTATATTTCTATAGTTCGTAATTATAATGCTTACGTTATACACTTCACACATACATAGTATATAGTAGGTACTGCTGCAGTAGTCCCATGGGCTCTGTGTTTGTTGACAACGAAACGTGATGTCATTAAATCCCTCCACCGTCACCAGCATATTTGCTCATTTCTCCATACGAGGAGTTGATTATTGGTATGTGAGGAATGCATAGAATGTGTGTAATTGACTAATTGAATGCTACGTCTCCCTAGAGTGTCGCTGCGGAAAGTTCTGGAATGCCAACCACAATTACTGTTCTGTAACCTCTGGTTCTCTGATTTGATTGACTCACAACACGTCAAGAAATGATTAGCTTCTTCTAACTTTGCCAATCTTATAAGGGACGCTCAGCCCCTGCTGATACCAAGTTTATAGGAACGTAATGATCCACAGATTGTACCTAGTCCACACCAAAACCACGGCACCCACACACGTAGGATGAACCACCACCACTGAGTGAGTGTAGTAATTTCAGCCACTCAAGAGAGGTGGCTATTTTGGCCATTTTGTGAGTGTATATAGCTGTGTTCGTCGAAGGATTGAGATTGCATTGCGCTCTCACCTGCACAAAGGAAGTCACTGCAACTAATTCCTCTGACCTTGCCGGTTGTGTGTGTGTGTGTTTGTGTGTGTGTGCAGTGGCAAGGTGGGTTTTTTCTGCGCCTGAACTGAAAGCAAAGCACGCCCTTAGACTGAGCATTTTGTGACGTGTTCCACACACTTGTTGGTTTAGCATGTGACTTTCAGGTATTGAATACATTTAGTTGTGAACTCTGACATGTGTGTGTGTGTGTGTATAGCAACGTGTATCACGTACAGCACGTAGCTTTGCTTGGGCCAAAGGTAGCCAAAACCTTTGAAAATGGGACTATTGACTACTGCCGAACTTCCTCCATCTCCCTCTCTCTCCTTCCCCCCTCCCCTCCTCTCCGGCCCTCTCCTGTTGTCATCACAGTATAGGTCTCTTGTTGTCACACAGAATACCGCCAATTGCTCCCCTGATAAAATTCTTGTTCCCTCTTCCTTGTTTGGACTACCACAGATTTTGAGAATGCTTCGATGCTTCTTTTCCTAACAAGACCTAGAGCTGAGTATCAACTGCATCCCCTGAAGCATGCTCCATACTATAGCACTACTGAATATCTGGGATTCCAAATGGAAGCCAAAGAGTATAATATATAGCTCTACTTATGTACAGCTGAGAGAGAAGCCTTGTGCAGCAGAGTAGCTTTCCCCTAGAAGGCCACTGCACCTACCCACATCCTTGTTCGCCCTTCCTCCCCCCCCCCTCGATGGCTTCGGGGCGAAATGGCATTCCTCCCTCCCTTCCTTCTCCAACCACTTACAATTGGGTTTAATTATGCACTACCGCCCTCCCTCTATGACTGGTCCAGTGTATTTCTGCTGAATATTGTCAGCGGCTATGCCTCTAGACTAAGAGAACAGTGATTATAAAACAAACATGTTCGTGTTTAAACTGACTTGTGTTATTTCAAACAATTTGTCCCACTATTTGGGGTAGTGTGCGTGCACACAGGGATTATGTGCTGAATACAAGCTTCTCAGGATCCAGGCTCCCTCTGACTCCCTCTGACATGTCTGTGAACACATTTTTGTACGGGTAAATATACGTATGTATGCTGTTGTAATTGACATTGACGTAGTAGTACCACATCTCTACACATGTGACTTCTGCTTAATGGACATGTTATCAATAACTCTGTCAGTGCATGCGGGCATACCAGTAAAAACACACTGTGAGTAAAGGTTAGTGATGTGTATTCAGTGTCTCTGGAGAGGAATGCCCTGTGCAAATATGTCTTCCTGCCTCCTGTTTGTTCTGGACTAAAATACACCGCACTGTGGATATGGGGTGAAGATTCGACTACACGGCAAGTGGCCTGCCAAATGTGAATCCCAACTTCCGTTTTCGAACGTCAAAAGTATTTTCTGTTGTGTTTGGTCTCCCGGCCGAAACAGTTGCACATTTCTCGTCAAGAGTTTACAAACTTTCAGCAGGCGTTGTCAAACCTTGAGTCTTGTCTGTGGCCACGTGTGTACCTCCCAATGCCGTGTTTACGCTTTTCAGTTCCGTCGCAAAGATCCACATTCAGCTTTCAGTTTTGGAGCAAAGTATATACCTAACACATGGGACGGAATTGTTATCATTTCTTTCAGAAGTCCATCCGTTCCCACACTTGTCAATCACATGCCCCTCTCTCTCTCCACTCTCTCTCTCTCTCTCTCTCTCTCTCTCTCTCTTTCTCTTCGCCAGCTTGGCACGCGACATATAATTGAAGAGATGAACACAAATCGTCACACGGTCCAAGTTATTTTCATCTGCGGCGGATTAAGACACAACAAGACCTACGTGCAGGCCACCTCTGATGCCACAGGTCTGTGTAACATTGCAGCCGGTAATGCCGCTTTTGAAGTGGGCGGCCTGTTTTTTTGTGCATTGTGCTATTTGCTGACACCCACAGCGCTATGTCGTGAGCCATACAAATCGGCTCTCGGACAAAAAAGCTCTGATCTCTTTTCATTCACAGAAACAATTTCGATCGTGTGTACTCTTAAGTACGGCCAGTTTTGGTTTCTGGTGGGGCATGTCTTTGAAAAGGGGTCCGCACCCAATGTGCCGCGGCAGTTAGGATGGGACTTGGTAGGAGCAACCATTGCTTTGACACCAAAGCCATGCTTAGCAGTTGATGGTGTGTGATCTATAGTATATCCATTAGTTGTCCCTGTGTCGAGGCAATCCTGGCTGCCTTTGAAAGCTGATCCCCCACAACTTGTCGATGATCTCTTCTCTATGCTAATTGCGTGTAGTCTGACGTGTGTCTACACTTGAATGCTTTACCTTTAGCTGGTTTACGAGACATCACACACACGTGTGGCTCTATACCTCAGTCTTCAGTTACTCAGGTGCGTACAGATTGTGTATTCACGGGAGTCAAGTAACCCGCCCTGTATGGAAGTGGATGTTTTTACTAGACTGGAGGTCGCTGCTCTCTGTGTGTATGTGTCTTTCGGCGTTTGGTTTGGTAGTTGTCCTTCTAGACTTCCTACTGTCCATTTGTGAGAACACCTTTATACCCTTCTTCTCCTCCACACCCTCTCTCTCCTTTCTCTACCTTCACCCATTCACACAGACACACTCTCTTTCCTTCTTCCTCTGTCTCTTCCTACCTCCCTTTTCTTGTCCCTCTCTGCTTCCTATACACCTGAACCCTGGAAGGAGCCGTCCGTATAGAATAGATGCTGCTACAATAATCCTAGACCAAAGGTTCGTTGCTCCTTGAATCAACGTGAAATTTCCCTAGAGGGTCTGAAGGGATTATTCCAACCGTGCGTTCTGTCAGCCTCACAGACAAGACCTATGATATGGCAGGGGGGCACCTTTCAACTAAAATGGAAACCGGCCTCACAGAGCAATGTGTGACTGCCTGTCAGGGTTCTAGACATGTGTGCACTTTCTGAAACCACTCCATAGCCTTCTCTCATTATTTACCTTTTGTGTAGCCGTTTTGGCCATACAGAGTACTTTCTTTTTCCTCTTCACTCATTATCGGAATCTTTTGCCCTCTGAGGTGAGAGGCAGTGTGAGATGGGGATTATCGAATCGAAGGCCACGGTGCTTCTCCGAATTTCACCCCAGAGATCACATGACTCGCAGGCTTGTGTGGGTCATTAGTTCTGCTTGCTTTGGGGGATAATCTGACACATGCACGCATGGTGAATCACTAATATCATGCTTCACTGTACGATTTCGTGGGTAGAGGAGGGTAGAATTGCATTCTTTGAATTCCATCACTTGACTCAAGATGTACAGCTATGATGTCACAAAACGCAATAGCTACGGCTATGGTAAGAACTATGCTAATAGGGTATTTTACAGTAACAGCATTAGTCTAGTACAGACTACAGTCGGAGTTTGGTCAATCCACCAGGGTTGAAGAACATCTACGTAGCTCAACTGGACACAACTTTTCTTTGGCTACAGAGAATCATTGGTAGAGGAGTGAATGGTTTTTTTAATTCTGGATCCCCGATAGATGCCACTCTACTACCTCATGCTGTAGTCCTACAGCAGTAGAGAGTTGATAGTCACTCCTATACCTCACTGAAGTTGAGAGTTGTGGGGATGTCCTGGCCGCAGTATACACATGTTAATTCTTGTAGACCATGTGCCAAGTTATATTGATCCGCTGGATGTGCAAGGGAAAGGGGGGGGGAAAGATGGAGGGGGTTTACCAGAAACATCCCAGACATAAGTGTTGATCGTCTGTTGAAAGTTTCCTAAGTTTTACAGCTACTATATCCTCATCACATGCAGGCCTGCCTGTGGTTCTATATACCTGCTGAGGAAGAGTCGGTTTACTAGGAGCTGGGATCTTGGCCGCAGCTGCTGCTAGAAATGAAGAGGTGGGTGGAGCGTTCGGTCCCAGAAGACCTCTGTACTGTCAGAGCCTTTAGCTACTGAATCTCTCAGATGGGACTAGACAGCAGTAGAGAAGCTGCACGTCTCAGCTAGAAACTTGGCTCTGCTTATTTGGAAGGGGTTCTGCCACCGTATATAGTCATCTCAGGCTTTGACCTACACCCACTCAGAACCTCGTTGTTTACTGCCATTTTTAGGAGTTGACTCTCAACTTGTGTGACATAATTATTATTCTACTGTCTTGGGGGTAAAAGTTTAGTTGCAGTCGGTGCTCAAATTGTAGTTTATTTTAACCCAAATACAGAGTGACAGTTTTTTCGTGTTTGATATGGTGCATGGTGAATGGGGTGTAGGTGTTTTAGAAGGTATGTGGAAGTGTGCATCCGCACTACCCTGTTGATTGGTGGGCAGCCATCTAATGAACTGTTAATCAACTGTAAATTGTAGGTGTCAGTGGTTATGAGCTCTGGGGACAGTAGGACTGTTGAACCGACCTCTGACCCAGCAGTAAGACTGTAAGTATGGAACACACAAAGCCGGAAATGATCTGCGATTGTGTGTCTACATAATGATGCAGGTTTTATGCCCAAAAGTACAGAGTTTTTCGTGAGATGTACAAAGATCAACAAAGTATAAAACTTTGATAGAGTAATAGTGCGGACATTTATTTATGGTTTCACAGGCGCGTATTGTGTATACTGGGAACGTCTATTTGCGTCACAGTTGTAGTTGCCCGGAAGTGGAACTGGTATTGTCGCCTATTATAGCGCTAACGACCTGCGTTGTGACGTAGTAGAGCAGCGCGCACGAGCGCGAGGTATAAAAGTGGGGCGGCAACGCCTCGGCGAACACCGTTACTCCCCTGAGCTTGAAAGATAGTCAAAGCTAAAGCTAGAGGTTCTAGCTGTATACTAGAGCTTGCCCACGTCTTAGGCGTATAATCGTCCATCGAAACATAGTCACCCCTCTCCCCGAAGTAGTTGTGTGCGCCAGGTGAAGATGATCTCACACGAAGCCGCCGGAAGCTTCTACGACGACTTCCATAAACCGCCGGGTTACCTGCCACTCAAGCCGGAGGAGGACCACAACCAGCGCCTGATAACGCCGGACACTCGTCACCTCTCTACACCAGCCGTGGATCTCCTTGTCGCAGCTACAACTAGCCCTAGCAACTTCTACCCGCCCAGGAGCGTCTCGCGAGGAGAACCAGCGATCCCCACCGTCGAACAGCAAATGTATGCGCAACCGTTCATCGAGGCCTTCAACCAGCGGATTCGCCAGGACACGTCGTCGCCGGCAGGCTCGGACATGCAGTGCCACAGTCCGCCCAACATCACTCACCACTCCTTCGTCACCACGGCTCCGGCTCCCAATCCGAGCCTTGCGTCCACCGCACCGACGTACGTGACGGCGACAATGTCCGATATAAACAGCCTCATTCCTCCCTCCGAAGCCAGCATATCATTCTCAGTGTCCAGCACCCACGACCCGAGCTCGTTCTCCAGCCCTACATGCCCATCCCCACCTACAACCACTCCCACAGTGCAGCTCCTGATGCCTACCCTGCTCTGCTACCAGGGTTTAATGTCATCGCACAGGCCGCACCGACTGGTCAGGGAGCTCTCCAATCACAGGGTTTCCCCTCAGACCCACAGGCGTCCATGTCGCAGGAGATGCTCCGTCAAATTGTCCCCGCAGACATGAAGACGATGGAGTACATGAAGGTGGAAAGAAAGAAGGCACGAAACAGGATCGCGGCGTCCAAGTGCAGGCTGCGGAGGTTACAGCGAGAGTCAGATCTCCAGGAGAAGGTCCGCAGACTCAAGGACCATAACCAGGAGCTGAACAACGAGCTGAACAGTCTGCGAGAAAAGGTCCACAATCTCAAGAGAGTGCTCATGAGGCACATGAGAACTGGCTGCAGTGTCGATCTCCCGCAAGGTTTCCGGACAGATTCTCTCAGTTCCACGGGCTCTGAAGTATAGTTTCTTCCCTGCAATTTCAAATACCCCACCTCGTGTTGTTCTCCAATCGTTCCTTGACCATCCCATGGACATGTGCCTTGAGAACACTGTATGTATTGTATGTGACTAACTCTGTGTCAAACCTTCACCCAGTCTTTTCCTCATTCGCCAAATTATAGGTCAACACATTTTGCAGGTCATTTTCGATACCATCAGCTCTATTATTATTATTACATCTCAAATCTCACTGCATATGTGTAAATGTCATCACTTATTAACTATTCTCACTGCTGAATTAAAATCTTGTTTCTCAGTAGACATGGAAAAACTGATGTAAAAAGCGAAAGAATGGCCTACACCCTTGTCCAACGTAGGGTGGATAGTACACTTTTGTGGGCAAAGAATTAGGACCAAATATAGTCATCAGTAGCCACAGAAGCTCTTGTGCACATACCTGTGACCGCACAGGAAATTCCTAATTTCCCTGTGCGGATGGTGTGTGCCTAGCGTTGTCTGGCAACACGCTACTTGCCAGTATTCATGCCCTGATAATTGCTGGAGTACTACGTGTATATAGCCCTCCAGTGCGAAGTGTACTAGCGCCCTGCAGGCTAAGCACATTCATTGCCTCAAACTGACATTGTACCCTGGCTCGTGACTACACCATGTGATTGTTCTACCATCAGCTGTCTAATTTTGCTACATGATGTGGCTGATTTCTGATGATGTCATTGTAAAATTGCTCCCTCTATCACATCAGCAAGAGATGGATGGTGTGTGTATGCCCATGAAGAATATCTTACAGAGCTGGGACAAGACTGGGCTATCAGTAACTGTTGATTAATGGTATTTGGGACTACGCCTGAAAGTCACATGATTAATTCCCTCTCAGTACCTATGGATAGCGTAATCTTCTGCTGAGTGCTCGTTTTCACACATAACAACAATATTGTTACAAAACACACACTTCAGTTTAAAACCCCATGTGATTGGGGATCAGGGTAAACAGTTTTTCGAGAGGAAATTCAATGGATTTTCCTGCTCTCATGTGATCTCAGTCAGAGTATAGTGCAGCACCCACTGTAGGCAGAGGGTGGGCGGTGATGATGGTGATGGTGGTGAGGGTGTGTAGGGAGACCGTGGTGATTGTGGTGATGGTGGTGCAAGAGGTGCTCTCTCTCATGGTGGACCATCCGAGCCTCGTGTCTCAAATGAGACGCCTCCCCGTAGTGACCATGTCGGGCGTCCTGCATGATAGTGAAACATCTGAATATTGGGGACATTGTTCACTCAGTATTCAGAGTATGTATGGGGCAGAACCAAGTATCCTGCATAGAGAGAGGGGTCCTTTTTCGGGAATTTCGCTGCACATATAGCACACATTTTTATGCCTTTATGGCCAAGACACTCTTCGTCTAAACACTCAATGGTGGTACATGCCAATGAGGGTACACTTGAGTAGCATGTACTCAGGAGGCAGTTCAATGGTGCAACTGGGGGCGGAAAGTGTATGAACTGTGCACTTCACGCACCCAGACCTCTCCCTAGAGAATAAGTTTACCCATGATCGAGTCTAGCTACAGGGCGTGAAACAAATTAAGCGTACTCAGCTGCTTATTACTGACGTTTCTGGCCTCTCGTCGTATCTCTCTCTCTTCCCGTCTCAGTCTCCGCTCCATTCGCAGCTCCCGGGAAAACACTCGGGTGGGCTTTACTTGGAATTTCACATTACCCGTCAAAACGACAACGTATGACGTCACTAGTATAAAGCTCCGTGCGTAACGTCACAGGTTCGTGTCGGCGGCGGGAGCAGAATGTGGCGCGTCACCGTGGACCTTGGGGGGCTCGGAGAGTCGGTGGAGAAACAATGCCATGCCCGGCACCGTCCAGGAGCTAGCGTCCATGTTTCGCAAAGCCATCGACTCTCAGGGAAATGTGAGCCCCTCTGCTGCACTCGAAAAGCCGCGGATGGCGCCGATTGCTAGCAAAAGCGGTTGTTACGCGTGACCTCGTGACCGCCCGCCATTTTGTTTTCTCTCCTCCACCGCTTAGGTTCTCGATATGGGTGTTGTGAAGGAAGTAGTGGCAGCGTTGGAGCGCTCCCCCGTTAGCTCCAAGGATCTCAACGACCTAAAGGTGGGCTCAAGCGTGATACGCTGCGGGGATAGACAATTTTAGTGTGGTGGGCATGATTTGGAGTATGTAGCACTACATCTTTGTCTTCTGAACACGTTGACTTGTGTTTCAGAGTACGAGACTGGGCAAGTACATCAACCAGGTCCGGCGAGCCATCCCTGATAAGTCTCTTGCCAAGAGAATGAAGACACTAGTGATTCAATGGCGGAGTTTGGCCCAGCAGTCACCAACCACTCCCAATGGTGTACCCTCACGTACCACACCTCCTCCACTCCTCTCTGCGTTAGTCACACCCTCTCCTGCTCCCCTGGGCACCACGCACACAACATCACCTGCAATTCTCACAACCAACACACCACCTGCACCCCCTCAATCCAGTGCACCCTTACAAACTTCCTCGCAAACGCTCCCCCTGCCCCCACCTGCTCGCCCCTCGTCTGCCAACCCTGCCATGAACAGGAAGAGGGCTCTGCACAGATTGAGCAAGTTCCCTCCTCAACATCCACCCCAGAAGTCCTCTCTCTCCACTTCCACATCCTCTTCCTCTTCCTCTGTGCCCACTCAACAAACAACACCCTCCCCCACACCACCACCAACTTCTTCTCAGTCACCTTCTCCTGCACGTTCTACCAGCAAATCCCCCTCACTCCACTCTTATCCTCATCCTCCTACTGGAAAGCTACCCTCCAAACTCACCACAAAGCCAGTTCACACTGTGGAGACTTCCCCTGCCAGTGAAGAACGGACGACTGCACCTGCATCTCTTCAAGTTCGATTCCCACTGCACTCTGTGGCCAGGAATTTGGTTGTGAGGATCCCTCTGGAGCATGTCAGTGTTTCCAGACCATCTGTGGTCGCATCAGATGAACCAACTCTCAGAACTCCTAATGACACTTCCAGCAGAGAGGGTAGACCTGTACCCATTCCTACTGCCGATTCACAACTCGTCGCACACGCAAATGGCGTCCATGTGGATGTTACCGAGTCTGCTGATTCTATAGCTGAGACCGACAGCACTACAAAATCTCCTCCCCCTTCATATCTAGCTCTGGGACCAACTGACAGAGATAGACTAGGAGAGATAGTGACAGAACCTGTGAGTCTCATAGTCAGCATCGATCGACGTTTGCTGCAAAGACAGGCTGGGATCAATCTGAGCTCTACTGTATCCCAACTGGACACGCCCACCACAGACAAACCTAGTGTTGGAACTGACTTGAACAGTGACGATGGGTCCACTCCAGTAAAACAGACCCAGTCAGTCGCAGTGAGTGCTCGAGGCGACTTTGGAACGGACAGTGTCTGGCAAAGATGGACCGATCCTATCATCCACGAGGACAGTTTTGCGGTGAATATCTTACCGTATGTCTATATAGACGGCTTGGAGGAGAGTGAAGACGAAAGCTCGTGATTGTGCCTAAATCTCTATCGGCCACCTCATCTGCCGTGTGTAATTATTTCAATGTGTATTGTGTGTCTTCTGCAGAGATTTTTTCAAACTTGGCAACGTATTTTCTAACGATCATAATAGACCTATATTATATGTACACCAAAAACAGTCTTAAAAAACAGTCTTAAAAAACTAGAACTAAGGAGACTAAAGATCTTTGAGAACTTTCTTAACTTCTTCAAAAACCTGCACAAGTAGAATGGAATTAGCTGGCGGTAACCCCAAAGCATTCTTCATTCAGAGTTTCACTGTATGATGCCACTCACTGCTTACCTCGTCAGGAGGGGGGACCCCAGATACCTTTCGCACCATTCCCTTCTTCTCGTAGCGTTCAATAATAGGCATAGTGTGTGAAGTGTAGGTCCGGAACCTGTAATACACAGTCAGAGGAAGGTAGGAAGCCACAGTGAATGACACAGCATGGGCCTTATGGTTCACATTCACACAAGGAAGTCTGGACTTAAAGAGGTTGCCTAGACTTTTAACTTCCACCCTACCAAGAAATGTGAGTGCCACCCGGTCTGCATTATTAGGCTCTTCACTTCCCCGCATATGCTGTGCTTCCCCCTGTATGTATAGCAGCTCCTGGGTAAAATATCTGGACCACATGCTGAACCACAAAGGGCTGGAGAAGCTCCACGTGGAAACATGTGGTCAGGTCCAGAATGCACCTTCGTATTCAAACCTGGGCTTTACTAACCTCAAGCAAAATTTACCTTGCACTGCACACTATTTTGAGCAAGGTCGACAGTCTGCCATAGACCAAGTCACACAGTGAAACCAAGACTTTGCACAGACCTCTTTTTGAGAGACTCCAAGTTGTCGTCTGATCTGGCCATAGCTCCACTGCTCTCCGCTCTCTTTATAGCTCTTTCAATACACACCTTCACGGGCAAGGAAATGTAAAATCATGACCCCATTCCAGGTTGAAGTGTTGTATATAATAATTTCCCCTGTCCCCTCTTCCTCAACTTCCTCCTTCCTTTATGGCTATATAACATTCTTCATTTTGGGGTCAAAAACTGTCCCCAGTGGAAATATATATCCTATGTTCATTTCTCTTCCTACTTTCAATAGAGGGTGCGTGTGTGGGTGGGTTTGCACGTGTGCATATGTGTGTGCTAGTGTGTGGTCTCTCACGTCCTCCGGGCAGTCGAAAAAGAGGACAAACTTGACGTCGCACTTGTCCTCTGTCATCTCCCTCTCCCAACCGTCCAGATTGTCCTCATTCCTCGGGAATCCATCGATGAGGAACTTCTTTGCTCCGATCCTCTCCATGGCTTTCCCCAGCAGTGCTATGGTGATCTCCACGGGCACTATCAGACCGTTCTTCATGCAGCTCTCTATCAGATCTCCGTTCTCTGATCCGCTGTCTCTCTCCTGTCGCAGGAGGTCTCCCGCCGACAGATGAACAAACCCAAACTCCTGCACAGTTCATGTGTCCACGGTAGATAGTATTTTACAGTGGCTAATATTGGCCTCTGACCTTTACTATTTTTTCGCACTGGGTTCCTTTCCCAGCTCCAGGGCCTCCTAGAACGAAGACCACTTGAGGTCTCTCGGTCGCCATTACTGCTGCTGTCGCACGGACCTTACAACGGGAGAGTAGCAGGGGATAAGTCCTAGAGAAGGCCGATCTCATACACCCAAGCATGAACGACCACACCCACGACGAGGGAACGAAAGACCAAACCTACTTGATTGGGTTTGTTTTGCGCGCGAGCGTCGCGACCTTTTGCGAGTGCAATCACCTGATATACCGCTCCCTCGTCGTCTCCAAGGGAAAGGAGTGTTTTCCTCGTCGAATTGGTGAGATAATGGGTAACTGCTATGGAAAGGGAGGCTCGAAGAGGCAGAGTAGGGAGTTAGCTAAAGCTGCAGCCACTGGTAACGGCATCAATAGAGGCGTTGCTGCCATCGAATCTCGCAAAGTGTCTGATGATGCCCTAGTGGAAGAAGGACTAGCCGACGTAAAAGGCTCGGAAGAGACTGACGACGTGCCACTTTCCCAAGGCTGTGAGTTAGCGTCACGGGTGGAGGAACCAGCAACGCAAAACACCCACCATAAGACCGCGACCACCTCTAGCAACGAAGGACGAGAAATCTCTGGTCAACAATCGTCGCGTCGACGCGTACTTTTCTCTGCTGCCTCTTCTCCGCCGCGCGCCCTCGTCCAGTACACGCCGCCCAGAGAGTGGTCCACCTGCGCCTACTGCTGCAACCCCAGCGGGGACCGCTACGGCTACTTTCTCTGCTCAAACATGTCTCCCTCACTCTTGGACATGCTGATGGAGAACGGCTGGTGGAGAACGGGGAAGGTCATTTTCAAACCCTGCTTCCCTGTCGTCTGCTGTCCAGGCTACGCTCTGAGGCTCCCCATCTCTGAGTTTGTTCTAAAGAAGAGGCACCGTAAGGTCATCCGAAAATGGGCCCAATTTCTGCGTCAGGGGGACAGCTGGTGGGAGAATCGTTCCTCAACCTCGTCAAGAGATCCAAATACACGAGTTGGGGATTGTGGACCCACCAGTGAAGCTGGACTAGTTCAAGTAGTAGTGGCTAGCGTTGGCGTTGAAAAGGTGGTGGTGGGAAGCTCTGAAGCTGTGACTACAGAGCGAAGCTCAGCATCGAGAGATGCGACGACAGAGGAGGAAAGAAGCGACGTGTCGCAGTCTCACGGGCAGCAGGGGAGACAGAGGAGAAGACCGACGCCAGGTCAAGGGGCTGACCTCAACCGCCCTCCCTGTCGGAAAGCCAAGCTGGTGCGAGAGGAGAAGAGACGCAGGCGACTGGAGGCCGTGGGGAAAGATGATTCCCCTAGCACACCGCCCCATGCGAAACCCCACCTCCCCTCGCTTCACGATTTACTATCTGACCACAGACTGGCTGAAACCTCCAGACCCGAGTTTAGGCACAAGTTGAGCGTGAAACTTCTCGGGTGCAACCCCTGTCATCCTGACCTCGTTGCAACTCTACCCAAAGCCTACGAACTCTACGACAAGTTCCAGGAGAGCGTGCACAGTGGGAAGACACGGTTCAGATCAGCTGAGGAGTTCAAGTGGGGGTTCATGACGAGTCCAGTGGTCAACCCCACCACACATCTGGAGGGTAGCTATCACATGCACTACTACTTAGACGACAGACTAATCATGATCAGCATTCTCGACATACTTCCCAAGTACTTTGTGTCCATCTACTTCATATACGACCCAGCCATCAGGTTCATGACTCCGGGAATATACACCGTGTTGGTAGAAATGGATCTGGTCCAGCGACTACAGACCCAGTGTGGCCCTCGGCCGCAGTATTACGCCCTCGGTTACTACAACTGCAACCCAAAAGTCAGCTACAAGAACCAGTTCAAGCCACAAGAGGTACTGTGTAACGAAACCCACGTATTTGTCAGAATGGACACGGTTTCAGAGAAGCTATCGAAGATGGCCTACACCCGTTTGGCTGACGACGTGGTACCAGAAAAACCGGGAAGAACTACTCCACTTGATAACATCCTGGTAAACTACAGTGCAACCATGCAACACATCATCCCACTCCAGTACCGGTTTCTCAACTCTCGGGCGCAGAGATATTACCACCGTCCCCTGAGGGAACTGGTGTCTGAGACTGGGGTAGAGATTGCCGAGCAAATGATAATCTCTATTTCCCACACCTCCTCCTCAACATGATCAATGGGCATAATAATATCGTTGATGTTAATCCTTCTTATAGTGTGTTGAATATATTATACAAACATGGAAATCATTCATTTTTATACGATCCTTCAATATTTTTTTTATAAAAGTCAGAGAATGCCTTTGGCAACTGGCTTGACGAAATCTCTCAGGAACGCTTCGAGGTCGTCTTTCTCAAAGTCCAGTTCAAAAAATTTAGACACGATCTTCTCACTCCTGCACGGGCATCGTTACTCGATTATGTAGTTCCTAATACAATGAAACCTCTAAAAAAGGACTCTCCGAATGAAAATTCTCATAATTATAAGGAAACTTGGTTCTGCCCCATTAGTGTATTATTACCTCCAAATAAGGGACATCTCTGGATAAAGCACACTCTCTATGTCTATAGGTATATTCCTTATCCAGAGATTTCACTCTACGGGGGTTTACTTCACATACTTAGGTCCGTTTCTATTGTAAAGGTTTAATGCACATACTGTACCTGCACCCAGCGTCATAATGAGAAAATTGGGTGGCCTCTGTTATTGCGATGCCAACAAATTGTGCGTTGAATGCCAAGAACTAATGACTCTGCAGACTACAAGAGTTGTCATCTATACACCACAGTAAGACACGGTATACTCTGTGTTTGCACATAGTTATGTGCACTCGCTCAACCACTCATCTATTTCACAGGTGAACACTCACACACGTATCTTCTCTTCCATGCTCGGAGTGTTTAACCTCGGTATTGGCAGGTTCTTCCTGAACAACTCTGACACCTGTAGTACATACATACACACAACAGCAGACAGTCAGTTCCATATTTCATTCCCTCATACCATCTTCTAACAATCTTATGATAGAGTGTATTAGCTACTGACTTGTCTCCCTCTTTCAACCACTGCTTTAGGTACACCAGCCATAGCGGCGATGTAGCACGCGTGACTGGAATCGCAGTGCCCCGGAACCAGCTGGTAGAGAAATATCAACTCGTCTCCATCCTGTATCGTCTCCATTGTCTGGGTGGGGTATAGATGGAGCTAGAGATTGGCGGGGGGAGAAGCTTACTGCATCTGTATAATAGCGCCCGTGTGGCTAGGAACTTCACTGCTGGAAAGTCATATTTATAGCCTGTCAGCATTTTTCTCTCATTTCGACACTTACTCAGGTGTCATCTTCATAGATAAAGGTGCACAGTGACCACTACGCTAGGGGAAAAAGCGTTTCTGACAGGCTAAAGATATGAGTCGTATATACACTTGGTAGCAGGGAGGAAGGTCTGTGTCAAACCAGGTATTCCAGGAGAGGTGATTTGGGCAGCAGTTTCTGTTGGATGATCCCGTGGAAGTGAGTGGAGACGATGATATTGGGACAGTCTTCGTTCATCTTCAGCCAGTGTTCCAGACTAGCCACCAGCAGACTCATCCCATCTCGCTGTCCAGAGAGACGGAGAGAGAGAGGGAATATGGACCCCGCATACTAAACGTCCAGTAGTACATTCTATTTTTGGTTTCTTGTTCTGGACAGCGAATGTGCACCATGGATTACTTGTGTGTGTGTGAAAAACGTTTGTAAGGCTAGACCTCCTGTGTGTGTTGTCTTCTCGTGAACAAAATTGTAAAAGAAATGAAGAGAAAGAAGGGAGGAAGGGTGAGGGGGAAACGAAAGTGAGGTTCCACATACGGTGCCAGTTCCTTTCCCAAATTCATCCAGCACCACCAGTGATCGTGTCGTCGCTCCGTTGAGGGCGGCTGAAATCTGGTTGAGGTCTATCATGAATGCCGAAAGACCCACCGAGACCGATTCCCGGGTTTGGATCCTGACATGGGTCTCAAGTTTGAGACAGGAGAGAGTGAGGCGGGAGTGTAACTTGCCTGGTGAAGATGTGCTCCATCATACCGATCTTGGCCGATTCTGCAGGCACGAAACTCCCAATGTGGGCTAGGAACACAATCAGGGCAACCTGCGTTTATGAGCATGTAACATACGGCGTATAAATCTGACTTTCACAATCAACGCACACAGAAACTACAAATGATAGAAAACGAAGTGTGTGTCAGTGAAAAATTGGTGAAATTCTCATCCCCTTTACTTTGTGTCTGACAGTATATCATGCACGACGACACAAGACTGTGTGTGCAGTTGCCTGTTTGAGGTAGATGCTCTTTCCACTGGAGTTGGGCCCTGTCATAAACTTCATTCTGCCGTGTTCCAGATCCAAATACGTGTCGTTTGGAACGAACGTGCTGACAACCAATTCCTGGAGAGGATGCCTTGTGGAAGACACACAGATCAACATCAACCATTTCTCCACATTACTGACCTCCAACCTTACCTGCCTCCCTTGATGTGGATGGTGTTCTCCTCACTGAGAACTGGACGCACACAGTTGTGATCTCTTGCAAACATAGCCAGACTTATCAGACTACAGTAGTTGAGGGATGGAAGGCGGGGGAGAAAAAGAGAAGAGATTTTTAGCTAGACATACAACCAACAGTTAAGGTAGTAAGAAAGGGAAGATGGGGGAGGGAGAGTTACAGTACAAGAGGTAGAGTGGAAGAAGGACTGGTAGAGGTAAGATGTGTGTCCTCCACAGCTCACCAGTCCAGCTCAGCAGTGAGCTCAACCACGGTGAGCAGAGACGAGGCGTGCTCTAGAATGACCTCCTGGAGTCTGTGCATGATCGACGTCTCATGGTCTGTCAGGAAGCGGGAGAAAAACAAACTCAAAATCTTGTTTAGAAAAAAACCGTGTGTTTTAGTGACCCCAAAAGATGAGCTCAGAAACTACATACCTTGTATTTCACACTGGACGTCCCCAGATTGTTGTCCAACTCTGTAAATTTGGAAACTTTATTACGTACAGGTTTTTTAATTAGGGTTGTTGTTGTTGTTGTTTACTACCTCTCATTCTGTCGGACTTGAAGTGGACCAAGTTCCCGGTCTCAAACTGAAACATTACATCATCATTACATCACCACCTGTGGGAGAATAGAGACTGACCACTAGACTGAGGCCCATCCGTGCTAGCCATTCTTTCTTCTCCTCCACCTCTTCCTTTGCCACCACCGTCAGATACCCCAACTGCAGAAACACACCCAGAGCTTGGGTATAAACCCACACACAGGTGCATGGTTCAATGCTCGTCCTTATGCCGGTTTCTCTAGCTGTTGGTTGGTTCACCTGTGGAAGATAGGTGACGTTGCACTCGGACAGGCCTGGAAGTCGCTCCAGCTCCTCGTGGGCCACTCTGGTCAGGAGATCGGGGAGACCGCTGTACAGTTCCCTCACTGGGCAGGGAGGAGGAGCACCTCCGTCACACAGAGTGTTGGTGTAATGAGAGTGGATGATGTAATGATGACGTAATCATACATACGTTTGTCGAGTTCTTCGTCAATGTGTGGTTTCACAGAGAACCTCTGCTGCACTGACGACTCCTCAAAATCCACCTGTACACCGTGTGCATTGCTATGAGCTGAGGATTCTTAATAGGAGCTTCGGCAATTTTGAACTAGACCCCAATGCAGAATTATAAGTATGCCCATTAACTGTGTTTGTGCTGACGTTGAAAACTCACAATTTTCGTGATGAGGCTGGCGATGCGGTGCAGATCGTCTGAGAACTCCCTCGCTATCTGAGTGAGTGGGGTCCAACATCACATCAATCTGTGCGTGACTCGGTGCTACACATACCCTCTTGAAGATCTGTATGGTCTTTGGGAGTGAGTTGCAGATGTCTCCGATGTATATACCATTGTAGGCACACTGTGTATTATGACAAATGTAAGAGGGAGGTATAGACAACAGTGTAGATGACCTTATATAGTGACTGCCAGTCGTTCATCGATGCCTGAGCTATATTTATCTTGGAGAGAATTCGCTGGTGAAGACCATAAATAGATGTATCAACAGCCATAGAGAGAGAAAAACTAACTGAAGGAGGGCTTACTGGGATGTTCTTTATATGTTTGATGCAGTCGTAGAGCATGGTGGTGGTCTCGTCATGAGTGGGAGACTTGAGAAACTCCACTGCCTCTTGACGCTCTCTCAGCACAGACATGTCAGCCAGCGGACGCAGGAACCACAGTCTGCGAGAATGGGAGAATGTGAACCTGGAAGAATGACAGAACGGGATCCTGACTTGAGCAGTTTGGAGCCAAGAGAAGAACGAGTCTTGTTAACAATTCCTATAGGGAAACAAACACTTTGAACAAAAGCTTTCAGTTCCAAGAGTAAACAGAGACTGGACGGACCGAAGAGTGAGAGTCCCTCTTTCACTCCAGAGAGTCCAGACTTGTACACAGAGGGATGGTACTCCTTCTGGAATATCTGGAGAGCACTGCATACACACACACACACACACACACACACCTTGTGATACCATGTACAGACACAATGCACTAGTCTACGGAAGTTAGCAAAATTGGCCATTAGCTCATGAACATAATATGCATTTACCAGGCAAGTGTAGAAGGAAGCTGAAACGCAACGACCCAACGACACAAAGCTTTTAAAGGTGCTATTATTACGTTTTTAGAATTATACAGTTTACCTGAAGGAAGACTCATCCATTACCAGCAGATTATCGCTGCAAGAGACAGACAGACAGACATGGGTGAGTAGTGTTCAGATGTACAGATGGTCTAAACTGACAGTGAGAATCGTTTGACGGCCAGCACGGGCACCCTCACTCCCTCTTCCTCCAGCTCCATCCCGAGTCTCTTCCTCTCCACGTACTTCAACAGAGCACCCACACATCGAATCTGCCTCACAATAGAGCACCAGATATGGGGGGGGGGTGTTATTTGGAAATTACAACCAGTGCTTTGTGTGTAACATCCTTAATTTCTGTTCATACCAAATTGACAGATTCCAGGGGAAAGAGAGAAGAAACTTGGATGAGTTTGTCTTCGGCAGAGCCGTCAGGATTAACTCCAGGGAGACGGACACCTGCAAGGAGCCGCTGCCGACACGACTCCAGACCTGTGCATCATGTGATCCTCACATGACGCGCGTGTGGATATCGACATACGGAAATCTCCGCCAGGGAGGAGTTCGACCTGTGCCACTGTTTCTTTCTCACTCCCACCACTCACTGGAGAGTGAACTATGAGGTATATATACTGGTGTAAAAAAATCCATCCTCAGCCCTAACAGAATGAACTTACTGTAGTCATCTAGAACTTTCTGCATTCGGTCGTCGATTCTAGCGCTGGCCAGAATGACACGAGGCTGCACCTGCAGCAAAACTGATGGCGGAGGAGAGAGAATCTGTGTAAGGTGGTGCAGGGATTACAACAGAACTGCCCACAACACAGATGGTCAGAAACTCACCTCTCCTTAGGAGACCAAAATCCTCCCTCTCGGCTGCATCTGGCATTATGTAGAGGTGACCAGTATCCACTACGAAGTAGGCCACCCCCAGCATCCCTCCTCCCCACACTGCACTCATCACCACCTGCACAAAACCAACTCACACCCAGCCCCGCCTTTCCGCTAGTTCAACTCCCACGCGCGCGGCTGCTTACTCACATAAGGATCGTCTTCTTCCTCGTCCCACAGTAGACCGCGGCCCGCTCCTTCTCTCTTGACGCTGATGTCTGCCTCCGTCAGCTCGTCCTCGTCCGTTGCAGCTGCTCCGGGGGCCGCGGGGGTTTCACAAGTCCCCGGCCGCTCCCTGCGACCGCCGCTTTCCCTTGTCCTTGCGTCATCGCTTCTGCTTCCCCTACTGGGAGGTCTACTGCTGGCAGTGCTGCCTGGCTCCTTGTTACTACTGCCGCAGCTGAAAGTCAGGGTCGAGGAATCCATGTCTGCTTCATGCATACGTACGTGCGCGCGACGAAAATAATATATGCGCATGCGCAGTGCTTGACGATCCGCTCCGCACGGTCTGCAGACTAGACGTAGACCGGACCGTCACGGCTGTCGGTATCGTTCTGTCGCTACTGCTGTTCATTCTACGATGGATCGGATCATGTCCCCTACTGCTGAACTGTGCGTTGCACTAGGTCTGCTGCTAGGGGCTGCATCAACCGCTCAATCCCAAGGTCAGAAACAGAAAGCGTATAGCTAAGAGTGCAAGAAATAATATCCGCTCGGTTTGGACACCAGGCAGTGGCGAGAATCCTGGCGAGGACCAGGAGTTCAGTTTCTACGGCCTGGAGCTGTGGTCTGTGGTGGTATCTGCGTGTGCCCTGGGTCTCTCACTGATGACAGTGGTAATATCCTGTGTCTGCTGCTACTGCTGTTCAGGGAGGTGTCTCCGCAGAAGGCAGCCAGCTAGGCGAATGTAAGCCCAATAACAAACACAAATCGCGATTCTCAAAACAGTTGCCTGTTTTTTCTGCACTAAATAGGCACAGCATATAAACAGTTTGCCAGTACCTGTGTTCCCAGCGTATACAAACCGTGTGTTTCCTTATCCACTTTTAGCTGAAGTATCGTTTATATAACCCCCTTAGTGCCGAGCCAGCCATTTGGGTTCAGAGTACGGTTGAGGCCGAGACTGATACCCATTTGAATGGCAGTGAGAGTGCCACAAACAACTTTGGTTCAAATTCACATTTCCACACACTACCGGAGATAACAGTAGGCCCTGCACCGAGCGGTGCTGACTGTGAAGAAGAAGAAGATCTGTATGATGATGGAAGTACGGTGAGAGGTGCGAGGCCAGAGAGCAACATATACGCCGAGGCAGAACTCAGTAAAAGTGACTGTGAACCGCTTTACAATAACATCCCTGGAGATAACGTGTCCCAAGGGTCCTACTATATGCAGCTGGTTGGCGGTACTGCCAATCAGTTTGAGAAATATGACTCACTTGGTCTTAATGCCCGCCGGAAACCTAAAGATCACACTGAAAATTGGGAGCCTCCCCATCTTTAGTCAAAAGAGATCCACCAGCGCCAATACAAAAACTGAGATTTTTTTCTTTAAAAATTAAAAATGTATTGTGTCTGTGGCTAATGTTGGAGAAATGATGGAAATTTGCCAGTTTTTAGTGACTAGAGATGTGGGTGGGGCTATAGCTATGTACATGAGTCTACAGCTTGACTGGCAGTGGCAGTGCTGAAAGGTAAGTGCTGAGTGTTACGAACTCTCCCTATACTGACACCAGTCACACATCCACTGAAACCAAAGGTGTAAGTTCCTCCAGTCAGACTTGCCAGACTTGGAGCCCCACCTGTGGATATTGACAATAATATTGATGGCTACACAATCCTGTGGTAGCTATATAGGTACAGCTTACCAAGATACGCTGCAAAAATAGAACCTGTAGCGTCAAAATTTGTGGCTGCTGACGAGGTCGTAGCAATGTCCCCATTACTAACTGATATTGCGCCATTTCCTCCATTTCTGTATAGGAAATACTGCATAAAGCATACTGCAAACAAAAACAAGGGAAAACGGACCTATTGACTACCACTGTGTAGTTGTCTCCCACTTGTAGAGGTTGCGAAGTTAGAGCCACAACCTCTCCAGACCCAAGGTCAAACCTGATGTATTATACCATCTAATATGGGCAAATGATATCTTGGGACACTTGCCTCAGTTCAACTAGACCTCCAGAGAGTGCAATGTATAGGTAGTCCATGCTAATGCTGCCATCAACTGGTCCCAGGTAGAGCAGAAGGCCGGAGAGGGTATTTGGGGTGAAAGAGATCTCTATCGATGTACTGATACGTTGCCTGAAATACATACGGAGATTGTATTAGTGTTTTTTCTCTCTTGAGAAAACTTCGCAGACTTACTGATCAATTCCTACGGCATCACCCGAGAACTGTAGGTAGCTCTGTCCACTGAACTGAGCCTCTAGGAAGTCCTCAACTCCTGCACAACACAAACAGATCATTTTTGAGACTTTGTTTTACTGGGCTCTAGCTACAGAAAGAGCGTACTCTGAGAGCAGGTAGACCCAGTGAATGGCAGAGAGCACTGACACTGCTGGCCAGTGGATCCATTCCCAAACTCCAAGAAACATACACCGTTGTTTAGACAAGGGTTCTCCGTGCACGAAAGAAGGGGACACTCCTCTAATCCGGCTCCATGATTGGCATTGGATACTAGCTGAATAGAAGCTGAGTTTGACACAATACTTCTGATGCAGCCCCGGAAGCCCCCGACCCCTCTAATCAGGGAGGGTAGATCAACGTTGGCTGTGTCGCTCACACCACCTATGAATAGAGGAGCTCCCAACTGCAGACCAGTGAGAAAGCCGTCTGAGGTTCCCAAGACCGGGAGCATGTCATCGACAATCAGCTGCCCATTGTGTCCATTTCGGTAGACCTCAATGGTGTGCCATTCGTCAAGTTCCAGAGGTTCTCTACTGAATAGTGTGGCTGGCCCACTACCCAGATCATACCAGAACTCCACCACTCCGTCTCGCAGTAGGACAGCGATGTAGTCCACCCCATCTGTCTGCTGGTTGAACAGCAGTAGTCCATCCAGTGAAGGTCTCACTTCCAGAATAATGGAAGTAGTTGCAAAGACATTAGTCAGAGATTCATGGGCCAGGTACGACTGTCCAGTGAAATATGGAACTGTTATTTCCACAACTGTGACCATGAGAAAGGGTGAAGTTTTACCAGAGCAATATTATATACACTTACTGAAATCGCAGGTAGGGCCAGCAAAACCAAGTGCGCAGAGGCAAACTGGTTCGGAGCCATCAATAACTTGACAAGATCCTCCGTTACTACATTCCATGTCAGTGCAGGGGATCAATTAGGCATTCCTCAATGCCACGCCCACCAACCGCCACCCCAAACAAATCCACTCTCACACCATTGATCTAAAGACACACAACCCATTGTTAACACCAGAGGACCAAAGAAGAATGAGCATACCTCTAAATCACTGACACATCCTCTGAATCCCACTTCAGTACCAGCACGTAGAGAAACTGTCCTGTAGTCTGAAACTCCGCCCACAAAAATGTCTCCGGCTGCGTTGAGAACAGTAAGAGACCCCTCAAAGTTGTTGGTGATCTCATCTCCCCCATCAACTGTCAGTGTTCCATTTGGCCCATTCAGAGTTGCTACCACATAGTGCCACGAATCCAGGTCGACCGGATCGCTGATCAGGACAGCAAGCCCTGATCCCAGGTCATAGCGGTACTCGACCCTTTGCTGGATCATTGCCACGGATAAAAAGTCCCTGTTGAGTGTGTGGTCTCCGTAGTAGAAAATGAGGCCATTGGGCGATGATGGATTGAACCTCAGACTCACAATGGAGAGTGGTGGATCAAACAAGTGTGGGTTGTACTGAAGAAACGATGTGAGATTGAAGGCTGGAGTCTGTATGTCTACATCTGGAAAGAAGAGAAAAGTATACATGAAATGGGAGATTGTAGTCAGTGAGCTAAAAGTTATTTACTACCTTCATCACATCGTTCTCCACTTCTTCCTACGGGGCAGAGACAAGAGAAAACTAGTCCGTCATCACTGTTGATGCAGGTGGCTCCCTCGGCACACAAGTCAGGCTCGCTGCCGCACCGATCGGCCACTCGGCTGCACAGAGGACCAGAGAACCCGGGAGGACACACACACACAAACGACGGCCCGTCTTCCAAGCATGAACCACCGTTCATACAAGGCTGGGCCTCGCATGAGCTTGTGTCACATTGCGTCACACCCAATCCATTGTCGGCATCCAGGATGAAGTCTACACTTCTTCCATCGATAGTCAGATCTGATACACATCCAGAGAACCCTTCCGCCGTGCCTGTGATTGACGTCAGATCTACAAAGTTAGTATATCCTCCTAGCCAGATGTCATTCTGGGTGTTTAGTATAGTGAACGGGGATTGGGAGGACCCTGGAATAAGAGGTCCGTCGTCGACCGTCAGTTCACCTCTACCAGATGATAGAGTAGCTGTGACAACATGCCAAGTGTTTAGCTCCAACTCTTCTTCACTTGTGACGGACAAATGGCCAGAGCCAAGATTGAATCTGAGTTCAGCGTGGCCATCAACCAGTGCCAGGGAGAAATAGTCAGTAAAGTCAGTCTCTGAGGTACTGGTGAAGAAGAGGAGACCACTGCCAGTGACTGGATTGAATGTGAGAGAGATCGTGACGGTTTGAATGCTAGCGGGTATGTAGGAGTTGGGTGGATAGGCGATGTAGGAATCTCCAGAGAATGAAGGAACGATGATAGTGATATCTGAGAAATGTTCAAAGTCAGAGGAAAGTTTTAACACAGGCAGTAAACTTACCTTCTTCGCAACTCCTCCCGCCCCTCCCTAGTGGACACTGACAGCTGAAGGTAAACTGCTGCTCTCTGCAGACACCTCCAAAGAAGCAGGGGTTAGGGTCGCATACTGGCAGAGCCATCTCACAGAAGACTCCAGAGAAGAAAGGGAGACAACTGCAGGTGAAGCCAGGAGCCTGCCCCACGTCGCTGCATGTGGCTCCGTTCTGGCACTCAATGTACTGGCAGACTGGCTGAGAGCATTGATTGACGTCGCGACCCTCATGATACACCACTGCCAGCTCAACTGAGTGTCCATTGGCTGCTCGATCATGTACACACCCCACAAGTCCAACAGTTTGCGCCACATCCTCAGGCAACAGAGAGATATCTGGCACACCTCCAACGTACACCAGAGTGTCAGTCTCAGTCACTGGGAAGCTTATTGAAACACTGACTCTCTCCATTAGATTGTCAACCTGAAGGGAGGCCTCTTCGGTGTCTACATTGAGTTCAACTACATGCCATTCACCATCGTTGGCCTCAACTTGTTCTACACTCAGTTCAACTGGTCCTGAGTCGGTCCCAACATAGAGTACGGCCCTCCCAGACTCCAGACCCAGAGCGATGTAGCTGAGGGGACTAGACTGAGCTAGGTATAGGACCAGACCAGATGGTTCAGATGTGAGAAATGCTAGAGAGTAGTTGAATTGGGAACTTGATGGGCCAGGGAGAGAATGGGAGAGATATGAGTCACCACCGAATGATGGTGTTACAATGTTGATCTCTGTGTAGGGGATAGGAAAAATTTTCACGCAGCAAAAGTATGAGCATCATGAATTTTTTTAACCTTGTGTACAGTTGGTTCCGTGCCAGTACAGTGGACACTGGCAAATGTAGCCAAGGTTAGATGTTGGGTCCAACACACAAGTTCCTCCGTTGCTGCAAGGCTCATTGTAGCACGGAGTGATTTCTGCTTCACAGCTCTCGCCAGTGAAGTCTGGGCCACACACACATGAGGTGGTGCCTTCACTGCTGGATGGGGTGTCATTCACAGCTGGTATGTGGTTGATACACGTGCCTCCATTAGAGCAAGGCTGGTTGAGCAAGCAGAGGTTTGTGTAGGAGCAGTTGTACCCAATATACAGAAGTGAACAGTTGCAACGGTAGCCAAACTCAGTGGTTGTGTCAACAACACAAGACCCATTGTTGTAGCAAGGCTGACTGACGCAGGGATCAAAAATTTCGCAAGTCGATCCCCTGTAGAGAGCGGGACAGTTACAGGTAAACCCTGGAGCTCTGTCAACCTCAGTGGGGATGCATTCACCACCATTGGCACAGCGATCTGGATCAAGGCAGAGGTCGATGTAGATTTCGCAGGCAGAGCCAGTGAAGAGAGGAGTACACGAACACTCAATGACTCCTGGGGCAGTTGTGGTGCAGGTACCATTGTTAGAGCAAGTATCAGATGAACAGAGGTCCAGTATTTCCCCACAGTCTTCTCCCCCATAGCCAAACACACAGTCGCAGGTGTAGCTGCTTATTCCATCCCGACATGTACCTCCATTGAGACAGGTAACGTTGAGACAGTCGTCAACGTTGACCTCGCAGAACCTCCCCTGGAACCCCTCCGGGCAGAGACAAGTGAAGTTGTTGAGTTGGTCAAGGCACGAGGCACCATTCATGCAAGGCTCCTGCTCACACTCGTCTATCATGGCCTCACAGGCAGAGCCGGTGTAGCCCATCACACACTGACAGTAGAAAGCATCTACCAGATCTTCACATGTGCCATTCCCACAGTCAACTCCTGTGCATTCGTCGATGTCCACCTCACAGTGCCGGCCTTCAAATCCAGGGACACACTCACAGGTGTAATTATTGATTCGATCGAGGCAACTCCCGTCATTTAGACATTCTACCTCCCCACACTCATCAAAATCAGTCTCGCATCTCTCACCCACGTAGCCTGGTACACAGTTGCAAGTGAAGTCGGCTACTAAGTCTATGCAAGATCCGTTGTTGCAGTCAATTCCAAGACATTCATCAATATCAATCTCACATGCCACACCAGAGAATCCTGCTGGACACATACATTCATAGCCTCTAAACAGATCCCTGCACGTCCCACCGTTGAAGCACGGGTTGTCAAGACATTCATTTATACCAAATTCGCAGTTTTGTCCAGTGAAGCCCGTATCGCACATGCAGACGTAGTCAGCACCAATGTCTACACATGTCCCCCCATTCAGACAGTAGGGGAAGGCACAGTTGTCGATGAAATTATCCTCGCACAAGTGTCCACTGAACCCTGGGGGACACAAACAGGTGAAGTTGTTGACTGCATCGAGGCAAGTTGAGCCCACGGGGCAAGGATTTGAATCACAATCATTGATATCTTCTTCACACAGTGGACCTGTGAAACCAAGAGCACACGTGCATGAGAACTCTTCCGAACCAGGCTCTCCGTTGGTACACTCTCCACTGTTCATACAGGGACTAGAGGAACAGGGGTTAAGGTTGATGTCACACACTCGCCCGTCGTAGTCTTCAGTGCAGATACATTCAAAGTCCAAGAACCTGTCCTGGCATATGCCATTGTTGAGACACGGATTGCTGTCACACTCGTTGATTTCAATGTCGCAGATCACTCCTGTGAATCCTGGGGGACAGATGCACTCAAAGTCGTTGCCAGTATCCACACATGTAGCATTATTCATGCACACAGAAAGACCATCGCAATCATTGTATTCTTCACAGAACGGTCCAGAAAAACCGCTGCGACAAACGCACTGGAACCCCCCACGAGTATTAACACACTCCCCTCCATTAAAACAGGGAGAAGTGGTCGTGTTGCATTCATCAATGTCCAACTGGCAGAAGAGACCATGGTAGCCAGCCACACATGAACAGGTGACAGAGCCCTGGGTGAGGTTTTGGCTGCAAGATCCACCATTCATGCAGGGCAGAGGATCACAGAGGTCAGTGTCGATTGTACAATTACGACCCTCGAAACCAGGGGCGCACTCACAGGAGTAATTGGCAATTAAATCAATGCAAGTGGAGTTGTAGCCGCAAGGATTCGGGCTGCAGTCGTTGATATTAGTCTGGCAAAGATCTCCGGTGAATCCGTTGTGACACATGCATTCAAACCCGTTCACCAGATTCACACAGACGCCATTGTCCCCACAAGGCTCTGTCTCGCACTCATCAATGTCTTCTTCGCACAGGGCCCCAGTGAGGCCCTGACTGCAGAGACAGAGGAAGGAGTCATTGGCCAGAGGTACACATGTAGAGTTGCCAGCACACGGTGCGGCGTCACAGACGCTGAATTGAGTCTCGCACAATGAGCCTGTGAATCCTGGTCTACAGCTGCAACTTTGGGACAACGTGCCATCGTTGATGCACTCACCGCCGTTCCTACAGTCTAGAGTGCAGAGTCGTGTCTCACACTGAATTCCAGTATACCCCTCGGAACAATTGCACACAAACCTGTTTTGGCGAGAGGTGCAAGTACCTTCGTTCAGGCATGGATTGGAGGAGCAGAAGTCGATGAGGTCACCGCACAACGTGCCAGTAAATCCGATCGGACAAGCACATGAAAACGAGTCAATGCCATCAACACAAGCAGCCGCTCCGTGGCAAGGACTAGATGCACAGTCATCGATATTACTCATGCAATTGCCACCCGTAAAGCCTGGAGCACACTCACATATAAATCCGATCCCGACCTCCACGCATGTGGCTCCATTTCCGCAAGGCTCGTCGCTACAACCAACTACCTCGACGGAGCAGTTTTGACCAGTAAAACCAGGAGGACATAGACACACATACCCAGCCACCAGATCCTCACATGTGGCACCATTTTGACAGGGACGGGGCAAACAGTCGTCAATATTTACCTGACACTCGCTACCAGTGTAGCCAGTCGGACAACTGCAGCTGTACCCGGCAACTTCATCCTGACATGTGCCGCTGTTTTGGCATGGATTCGACAGGCATTCATCTATCTCCACACTGCAGTTTACTCCTTCATAGCCTCCAACACACGCACAGAAGTACCTTAACCCTTCCATGTCTGTGCAAAGTCCTCCATTAGCACAGGGGGCAAGCAGCTCACATGCATCAAAATCAGTCTCGCACCTATCACCCTCGTACCCAGGCAGGCAAATGCACTCAAAGCCATCAACGGTACTGATACAGGCTGCAGTTGTGTTATCTAGACAAGGATCTGAGAGGCAGAATTCTATCATCTCACTACAGTTGACGCCAGTAAAAGCCGAGGGGCAGACACAAGAGTACTCAGTGCTACCAAGTGAGGTACAGGTACCACCGTTAAGACAAGGTGAAGCACTGCAGGGGTCGGATGTGGAGGTGTTGCAGAGATCCCCCGAGAATCCCTCCGCACACTCACACCTGAAACTTGCCACCATATCGATGCAAGAACCACCATTAAAGCACGTAGTGGAGGAGCAGTCGTCAATGTTAATCTCACAGAGTGTGCCTGTGAACCCATTTCGACAGAAACATTCGCCATTTCTGCATATGCCATTTTGGCAGGGAAGGACATCAGGATCACAAGGATCGAATTCAATGGAGCAGGTATCTCCTGTGAAATCCATGGGACAGCTACAGGAAAACTGGCCCAAGAGATCGTGACACGTACCCCCGTTTGTGCAGGGATTGTCCGAGCATTCGTCAATGTCCGTTTTGCAGTTTTCACCCGTGTAGCCAGTCAGACAGATACAGGAGATCTGTCGGTCTCCCCCCTCAAGCGTAACGTTGCACACTCCATTATTCTCACAGGTGTCCTCCTCAACCGAGCAACTTGTCATTACAGTGCAATTAGTCCCAGCAAACGAGGGGGCACATTCGCACACGTAGCTATCCACTCCATCTCTACATTCGCCGTTTACACAGGGATCTGGGCTACAATCGTCAATGTTTGTTTCGCAGTTTATCCCCGTGTAACCCAAATCACACTCGCACGTGTAATCCCCTTCTCCATCAATACAGCTACCAAAATCCCCACACGGTTCTCCCTCGCATTCATTTATGTTTTCCTGACACTGCCTGCCTGAAAATCCAGGGTCACACTCACAAATGAATGAGAATACGTCGTCGGTGCAGTTTCCATGAAGACAAGGGTTGCTGTCGCAGAAGTTTATGTCGATCTCGCAGAGCTCTCCGGCATAGCCGTACATGCACTGACAGACGTAGTCAGAGGGAGAGATGGAGACACAGACTCCCTGATTGAGGCATGGGTCGGAATCACACAGCTCAGAACCTGCAGAGACACACACACCACACACCACACAAGCAGTTTTAGATTTTCAAAAAAGCCCAATGAATAGTCAATAACTTAGTGCCACACACACACTTTCATATGAATTTGACTGGCTATACTGTAGCTAATTGTGTTCTTTCCTGTAGTAGCATGCACTCGTTCACAATTCCTAACCCAGAACAATTTTGCAAAATTCGCAGACTGGCTCCTGCGAAAAAAAGCGCTGCAGAGAAAAGGGGGGCGTGACACATCGGCGTTCGCGCGTCGGAAACACACATTCGTCGCACATCTTACCGTTGCAAAGTTCGAGCGTTGCTGCACAAAACAGAACAAGTACGAGCCTTTTCACTGCCATCTCCCCTCGCTCTGTCTGCTCCCGAGCTGGCTGGCCGTTGCATGCAGAGACCGCGAACTCTATATACGAACACGCCCCCTTCCGTGGTTACTTATGCGCATGCGCCGATCCGCGTAAGGAAAATAAAAAACCAATGATGATCAAAACCCATTCCAGTCCGAATCATCTTCCTTGGCAAAGAAGACGAAGTAGGAGTACACAGTCCCAAAAACAAAGATATTAGCTCCACCGATCAGCCCTGCTGCACCAGCTTGGATCTGAACATGAGAAAAGAGACCACTTATCACTGAAAAAGGTCCACCATAGAAACTTACTACTGCTCTTCTTGCTAGCACTATTGGAAGACCTGCACAAAGAAGATGGAGGAGAGGATGGGTGAAAGTTTTGCAGCAAACTTATGATTTTTTTCTAAGTCTCACCAAATCCTCCAACAACGATACAAGCAGATATGAAGTAGCTGACTTCCTTCACCAGTGAACTAAACGTGTACACAATAGACTAGTGGAGCAAGGAATACTATGGGAAAACTCACTTGCTCTCAGGGGACAGGTAATCCTCACTGGACAACTTCCTCGATATGGCCAGTGGTATTGGAGACAATATGTAGAATAGAACTACGAAAAGAAGATGATATCTACTAAGTGTAGGTAAAGAGAGAGTTTTCAAGATTTACCAACAAATATCCCCCACCAGTTGACGTCCTGCGCTGGCCTAAGAAGGAGTAGAGAGGTTGGACAATCAGTGAGAGGGTACAGTGGGAGAGTGTGAGGTAACCTGTCGCCGGGGAAAGTGAGGGCGCAGCCCAGGAACATCAGGAGCACTCCGAGAGCCGCCGTGAGTGCCATCGTCACCAAACTGCCGTGAACGATAGTTTATACGCCCTCCTATTATTCTGCCCCACGGGATGCGACCACACACTAGGCACGATCCGCCCTCCTCCCGTGGTTATCTGCCACACCACTCCGTCTTTCCTCGGTAGCCCTTCTATCCGTTTTTCCTCACCTTTTATTTCCCGTTAGTCCCCCCCCCCCCTAATTCCCCCTCCCCCACCCGCCGCACCACTACTGCGCCCTGTCCGTTATTTTCTCGCCCACCGTCACCGTGCGTCGTTATCTTCCACGCAGTCTCATCTCTGCTCACTTTGTCGCGCCGCTCCACCTCATTCTTCCCGTCCCCCCCGACCCCCCCTCCCTATTACCCCACCCGCTTCTCCCTCCCGGGACACCACCCCGACCCCCACCACATAAAAAAGGGGTCACTTTCTTTTTTATTGACCCCCCCGGCCCCCCCCCACACCCGCCTCCCCCTCCTTCTCCAGCCTAACCACTTCTCTACATCTGGCCCATCTGCGCTCCCCCGACTCCCCATCGTATACCCTTTTCCCCCCTCTCCTCCCGCACCCCCTCTGTAATCCCTCCCTGACGCCCCCGTCTCCGTTATTCGCCTGTCACCCTCCCGCTGGCTTGACGCTTTGCCCTTGAATTAATGTAAGGTAACATGCGGCTCCGCCGCCCTCTTGGAAAAAAAAACGAAAAAAGTGGTATGACCGTCACAGTTGCGTGGTCTAGCCTTACGTGACGATAGTTCTGTTACAAGTAAGCTCCATTCCCCTGCTTTTCTCTCCGCTCTGTCTCGGTCTCTTCGTCCTGTAGAGATTATGTATAATATGCTGACTGTGTGTTTACGTCACACGGCACAACCACGCCCACGTTTGTGTTAAGACCACGCCTCCTCAGACCCACGTGGTAGTTTTGTTATAGAATGGAGTTGAATGGAGAGCGAGAGGAGGACAACTATAGCGAGGGAGACGAGGAAGATCAGGAGTCAGAGCCGTGTCCGTGTCTGTTCTGCAAGAGCGAGCAGAGCTCGGCGGCAGCCACTCTGGACCACTGTCGAGAAGAACACCTGGTGGACCTACCGCGGATCGCTACACAGCTCCGTAGGCGACTTATTTCCATCGCTCTGCGTATTACTGTTTGTTACTCTGCAGACTACGACCACTACTCCTGTATCAAATTGATCAACTACATCAGAAAACAGGTTTGTTGTAGCTAACAGTGGATCTCGTCCTAACTGTTTCTCTGAATACAGGGAGCCCGCCCCTCCCTCTTCTCCCCTCTCCCCCAACGACCGTACCCCTGGGATGATGACTCATTTCTCCAGCCAACACTGGAACAGGACCCTCTACTGCTAGTGGACTGGGAATCAGAAACTGAACAAGCCTCCAACACTGGCAACACTCTTTCGCAGAGGTTGATTTACAGCAACTACAATTTACAATTTATATATCATCTCACGCTACAGTCAGGTGGGAGTATGTCTGTGGGTTACCGGTCGTTATTGGGAGGGTAGGGGCGGGGGCGAGGGCAGTGGTCCGGGCCCGTAGGGGGCGGGCGCTAATTGTTATTATGGGGGGGGTTTTCATGGGGTTTTCATTAGGTCTGTATAGTTAGGGGGGCGGGGGGGGGGGGGGGGGGTAGTTATTGGGTCATTGACGTAGGGGCGCTAGGGGGCGGGTTGATGGGAGAAGTATGAGGTATCGGGGGGTGTGGGTATGGGGGGAAGGCCGTCTAGTGGCGGTCACGGCCGTACTGGTGTCGTCAGGGGGGGGTTCGGGGCTCCCTGGGTCCTTTCTGGAGAAAAGCTAGAGGACTATAAAACAGCCCTTGCTCAAGCTCTAACTGATCTGCAGAATATGAGGTATATATAGCAGTAAAAGAACACCCAACTCTGACCTTACTTTTCTTCTATAGACTTGCAATGAGGCAGTTGGTAGGCGTGACAACACATTGTCACCCACACGACTAAGCAGCAAAAGAACAGGACATCGACGCGGAAGAAGAGGAGGAGAAAGAAGAGAAGAGGAAAGAGGAGGATATTTCAGTACCTACTCTCACTTCTCCATCGACCTGGAAATGCTGAGTGACAAAATCAGGACCGAATCCTACAGGAACTTCATCTCGAAAAACCCAACTCTTCCAGGCAAAAGTAAGCCAAACCGGCTGTAAACAAGATTGGATAGTAAGTAGAGTAATCGAGAGACCCAGGGACGGGGCGGAAGCGGCGCGGCCGCGGGATTTCTCACGTCCTTCATGCTCTACCCCGGGGAAG